GGCAGGAGGGAGGGAGGGCGGGAGGGAGGGCGCAGCCATCGAGTGTTACCAAACTGTCAGTGTCTATAATGCCAGCCAGGTGCGTCGGCACAGGAGCCAGGAAAAAAGGAGGAGAATTCAGTTGAACACATCAGCAGCCCCTTGATGACCACCACCATCATTTATGATGTGCTCTGGCCGTAAACACTTGATATTTCTACCACCACCACCACCACCACCGTTTTGAACTGCCCGACATGGAGAGGGCCTTCTCTTGGGAGCATGGATGACCTCTCTTTCCATCCTCCTCTTGAGTATTGCGTTTGGGACTTCAGGCTGTAGCTGTACAGGAGTGAAAAACAGGGAGTGCCGTTGCATGGCGCGATGTCCAAACCTGGTTAAAACGGCCTAACCGCCGGGAAGTCCCTAAGAAGGGTGGGAGCTTTCAGACGCCGGTTTTCCATCCTAAACATTGTTGGATAAAAGACCATTCAAATCGCGAGCTTCCTTGAAATTTGATGAGGGCAAAATGCTTTGGTACTGCTTGTGTAATGCGTTTCCCGTGTGGAACGACGGATTCGTTGACCCGTGGGACCTGTACGGCAGATTTGGCGATGGCGGCTAGCGCATGACGAGATGTGCGTCTTCTTTTTCGGCAAATGTTGCATTTCAAAAGCATAGCTGTTCTTGGAAAAGAGCAAGAGCGGAACAAGCACTGACGAAACCGGAGGAAATGAAGATTACCGGGTTGACTTGTGCTCACTGTCAACAAGGCCATCACACTGTTATTTTCTTAAGCTATATACGGCCATGTGCTTATTCTGATGTTTATTGGGCTTGCTGCAAGAAAGGATAGGATGGCGGGGCATCCCTTGGCGATGTCCACCCGGAGGCATCCGTGTGGAGGCGAATCGGCTTAAAATGTAAGGAAGTATTGATATTTTCTTAAGGCCACAGGTTTTTGCGGTTGGATACGCATGCTTCCACCTGTGCCGCTCCGCTAAAAGGTGAGATGCAGGTAGCGGGAACGCGTTATAGCTTACTGGTCCCCGGACACCGTTTTAATTCCTGCCTACAATGTACTCCGATGATCCTAGCATGATATAGGGCTGACAACACTCATGGGAAGAATCACCCGTGGTTTAGGCAGGGAATGTAGGCAGCCGAAGCTTTTTAATTATTTGGCCTTTCCTGTTCATGGAAACATGCGTCGTAATGTTAGACACCGTGCAGACTTCAACTGGTAATTGTTCAAGGATTAGCCAGGGGCACATATGTTATCGTCCTGGTTAGGCAACATTACAACGCTGCGCAGTGCAAGTCCCCCCATTTACGGAGTGCTGAAGCAATTATTTTGGTTGTAAAATAATTTGAATTTTTACGGGAAGGCGTTTTCTTGCTTCTCCTTTTTTGCAGCAGGACAGAGTTTTTGCCGATGGTGGACAGGAGCAGGACAAGGTGCCTTCAGCTGGCATTAATAAAAACGGCCCGCTCTCCGCTGGCATCATTCGATGGTCGTTTTTGCCGCTGCGGTCTCCATCCTTGCAAAGAGTGCGACCTCATACCGAGGTGCGGAGGTGCGCCATACACCAATTTGCGTACTCCAACCACCGCCTACCGTGGTGCGTTTCAAGTAATGTTTTCATTTATCGTATGTGAGTCAGCTTAAAAGTAGAACGGCGTGACAGGTGCCCCCCCCTCTCCGGTTAGCAATGCCGGACTGACTGCAGGATTGAGGGCCCTGACTGTGGCTGAGATGTATTTTATTTCCAGGGTTAGATGCTGTTGCATAAAGCTATGTTCGTTTAGCTGCGAACAATTTGGGATCTGCTATCCGCGCGCACTTGAGATTTGCGTCGGCACTGCAACTCGTACGCGGACGTCCGCACATCCAGATGTCTTATTTCCTGATTACGGAAAGGGCTTTTTCAATTTACGAGGTTCGGAAGAGGCGTGTGAAGGTCAAAAAGCCACGTCTCGGTGAGGTCTTGGCCCGAAGCCCCTTAGGGCACATTTCATTAACATAACCTGACCCAAATAGAAAATACCCGTCGCGTCACACGCGTCTTGAGAGTTGTGGATTGCTCCCAGATGAGGGCCGCCTCTAACGGCCAGTTGGGTCATCATGCCGATAGGGCTGCAGGTTGCAGCTGATGATGGCGTCATACGGTCACACGAGGAAACGGCCAGTTCTCTCGCGGGGGCCGTATTCCGTATTCCGTCCGTGCTGATGTGCCAGGAGCGGCCCTGAGCAAGATGCGCCTTGCATGAATGTGAAGATAGTGCGGGTGAGTAACAGAGAGTGTGTCTGAGTGTATCTGAGAGTGTGTGTGTGTGTGTGTGTGTACCAACGGGGTTAAATGTATCAAGATATCATGCGAGGGCAACTTACATAACTGAAACAACGGACTTAGCGCCAGTCAGTTGTGCACTTAACGGAACGGTGGACCTTGTTCAAGTCGTTGACCGGTGCAATGGACATCGTCTTTACACTGCTACCAACGAACAGGAGGAGTAGGTTCAGTTAGAAACATTACAAGCGTCATCAGGTTCTCTGTACGGGAGATAACAGCCTAAGTAGGCATATAGCTCCACGCAACTTGAGGTTCGTGCGGAGCTATCGCCGTCCGAAACATGTTGCCAAAATTGGCAAATGCATCAAGCATTTGCTTTCTCGGGAAGCCCGAGTCACGAGGGTCCCTAGGCTCCCCAGCTAACAGATGCCAAACACCTATCTTGTATGCCTGCTGCAATTTCCTAAAACCTGACTTACAAAACTAACATGCACATGCAAATTGCTATGCAATCTGCATTGCAAATGGCCCCAGCACCACTGCCAGGCAGCCAATTCTGTTCCCGGAGCCGCCACCCTGAACGAATTGAAGGTTGATTAGGTATCGCGTGCGGCCATACGCCACACAAAGTCCAGGGGACGGGACGATTATCCTTGGTCGCGCAAAAGATCACGTTCGACATATACTATTATACAATACAGCACGCGACCTGACAGGTTGAAGAAAATCGGTATTCATCAGGTAAGCTCGCTCACTCACTCGCTCCCACCTGCGCGCTACCCCCTCCATTTACCACTTCCCGACAGCCATCTGCAGCCTCAAACGTTTCCTAGCCGTCGCAGCCTCACAGCCGCGGTTCAGCTGACCTTCCTCCTAAACCTCATCTAGACGTCCTCCCCAGCAAGCCTCTGCTTTCTCGAGCTACCCACCTGGCCGTTGGCGGTACCCTCCGTGGGCCCCCACCACCTCCCCAGGCCTTCCGGGTGACTCTGCTATGCGGCTTTTCGGGCGGAGCTATCCATTTTTTCCCTACGCACAGTCACCACACAGCCTCCCTGAGGTCGTATCCATGAGGAAACTTCTTCTCACCCTCCTAACTCCGCCCTTCACTTTCCTCCGAGAGCTGCCAGGCGAGTCATGGGTGCGACCTCGCCAAGGATCCCCCCTCCCCTCCTCCTCCGCTCCCCTCCCCCCTCCAGCTCAGCTCAGCAATCCCTCTCCCTCACGCATCTCACACATCGGTTCATCTTCTGTATGAAGGGCCTCCTTCACAGGGTCGGAGCTCTCGCCCGCTGCCGATTCGGGCGAGGACTGACTACATGCCTGTTGGGGCACCTGTGCAGGCCGCGGCATAGTGATGCAGGGGGTGCCGTCGCCGCAGTGAGGGGCCTCCCACCTGCCGTGCTTGGCCGCCGGCATCGCCGGGGTGTGGATGTCCCGGGCCCGCTTGGGTGGCCAGTGCGGTATGGACGGCTCGTCAGCGGCAGGCCCCGCATTGGCACCGCCGACGGCGGCGGCGGCGGCGGCTGAATCCGCGCCGGCGGACGGTGGAGCGGCACCAGTACCGCAAGTCGGTGAAGGCGCAGGTTGCTCAAAGTTATTTGCCTTGGTGGAAACGCCGTACGTGATGAGTTTGCTGTGCAGAGTCGGATACACCCTGACAAAGTGCATGAAGTTCACGGGCTGGTTGGGTTGGACCTGGTCGGGGTCGGAGCCCAAGAGGAACAGGGAGGGGTCGGGGAGGGGGAAGGCATCAGGAAGTGACATAAGGACAAGCAGGTCTCGGAGCGAGAGCGAGGGAAAGAGGGAGGGAGGTCAAAGTCAGCTGGGGTTACACGGGAGTTACGGTTCCCGAGGCTTGATACGGTTGTTCCCGGGCTTCAATCCCCTCTTGAGTACAAACGGAGTGCTGCTTTCGACTCGAGCTCTTCTGCCCTAACCCACAGGTCACAAGCTGTTAGCCCCCAATGCAGCCCCCGCGAACACCTTCGTTCCACTTGCGGAGATCCGTCCGGAGCACCACCGGGTTGCCGCCACCACCCCTCCACTCAACTCAGTCTGCACCCTTGCTTCCATGCCACCCTCGCTACTTCCCACCTATACCATCCTACCAAAATTGATATCAGTCCCAAATCCCTAGTCCACGCCCCGCACGCCTAACCACGTATCATTCCAGTATGGTGCTGGCCCTGGGAAAAGGCGTGCGTGCGGGCCCTAGCGCATACATTATCCCATGCCCATGCCCATGCCCACACCACCACCACCACCTACGAACCCACCTGTTGCTCTGGAAAGATCAGCTGCAGCAGGTCCTGCTGCGCTTCAGGAGCAGAGATTCCCTTGCACCCCAGGTACTTCTTCAGGTCCTCCCCGGTGATGCAGCCATCGAGCTTTCGATCCATCAGGTCGATCTCCCCAAACAATTTGTACGCGTCGCAAGTCCGGATGAGCTGGGTTTCGTAAGGTGGTGATTGTACGTGGTCAATCGCCAAATGGAGGCACGGGGGGAGGGGATAGTGGACGGTTGAGTGGCGGGACAGGGGCGGATGGAAAGTTGGCAGTCGAGGAATGCAAATCCCCGACTGGCAATGTAGCGGTGTACCAGTGGTGTAGCTCTTGGGGCTCCTTCGAGGTAATGAGGAAATGCGAGGAAAGAAGTACCGCACAGGCAGCCAGGAGGAGAAGGAACCCCCCATGGCATAAGGGGAAATCAACGTATACTGTGGCGCAGAGCACCGAAACCGCATATCGCCACGACGCAACACAAATGCAAACCTGCTCTCAGGTTCCTCCGACGCAAAAAGCCCTAGCGACCCAACCTTAAGACATGTAAAAAGTACATCAGTAATGGAACTCATACAACCGTATAATCCGTACGTCTCCGTTGTACTTTCCTCCTCCGGTTCTCTCCTCCCTAAGTACATGCTGCATGCAATCCAGCCCAGTGAAACATCAACCATGCTCGCTCCACAAGCAGCCTACCTTGACCTTCTCGGCGTGGCTCGTATTGAGCCCCTTCAGCTTGCACTCGATCAGCTCGAGCATTTCTGGAAAGTTCCTCTTGGAGCTCTCTGTCCCGAGGACCAGGAGCATGTGCGAGTCAAAGCCTCCTTGCGCCACGAGGGACTCCGACGCCACCCCCTGACTGGCCAGGAGCTCCCTCAGCTCCTCAGCGGTGTAGTCCGTACAGGGCCTGTATGGACCAAACCGCTGCCCCAGAAGCAGCAACACCGACTCAACGTGGCTCTGTGTGTAGAAGAGGGAAGGGCGGCGGGGGGGGGGGTTCTTGAGCATGACTTTTAATAACGGTAGAAAGTAGGTGGTGTGGCTCTGAATTTCAAGGATAGGAGGTGCGGCTGCGACAGGAGCAATGAGGTTTGCCATAATTCGGTATGGGTTCATGTTCCTCTTCAGTCGGTCGTTCAAACTAGGCCCCCCACCCCCGGGCTACCCACCTTTACCTCAACCCAATTAGTGAACCTTTTGACAGCATTGACCATTCCCAGCTGCAACAAATGGTTTCGGCACTCCGGCACCGAATAGCTAATCATCTTGGCAATAAGCTGGAGCACCGCGGGCATCGCGGCCCGAAAATCAGCCGCTACACGCTCGTCGGCCAGGTAAGCATGACCTGTAAGTACCCCCAAAAAAACGCAAGCGGGTTGGGATGAGAATAGTTGTCAGGGGCTAGAAAGTTGGAAAAGTTGCTAATAAAGCGAGATCGAGGGCTCAAGGAGGAACACAGGGGACTCGGATAAGGTGGTGGAAAACGGTTTCCCAGCGTTCAGTTTTTCAGTGCTTCAGTGTTTTGGATAATTGGTTTGGAAGCGGAGGAGGTAGGCATAGACGGGTAAGTCGTGACATAGGTTTCCCCAACCCAGGCTGCCAGTCTACTAACCAGCCACATGCCTATTCTGCAGGTATACATCCCACCTGCTAACTGCGGGAGCTGCATACTGCCCTCGTCGTCCTCGTCCTTGTCGTTAGCATCCTCGTCTGCCGCCGCTTTCGCGGTCTCCGTATGCGCCTCCTCCTCCTTTGTCTTATTCGGCACGCACACAGCCTTCAGCACAGCTGGGGCCGAAATTCTGAGCAAATTAATCATCTGGGACACCTGGTCGAAGCTCCAAGTCCATCTGTTTAGCACCGTGTTCTGCAAGTTGCGCGGGACACAGGAAAAAGAGTCCAGTCAAAGGGAAAGTTAGTTAAGGGTTAGTTAGGGTTTAGGGTTTTAGGGTTTTTGAGTCCGAGGTACACGCGCATAATCCTTTTCGTCTGGTCTAGCTTAGGTCCACCGGAACAAATATTTGCCTTCCAAACAGGTGGTTAACAACAAATCAACCGAGCTGATATGCTCATGGCGTGCGCATCCTAGTAGTCGGTATTAGCGTGCTGAAGGAGGACGGACGCGTACCGTGGAAAACAGTTAAACTGGAACACCAAACGGACAGACATGGAATATTCTACGTTAAACAGTTCCAAGGCGCGCAGCCTGAAACGCACGCGGCATTAGCAGCCGGATCCACAAGCGTATGTGGGTTGAGCTCGAACCGTGACCCAAGAACCCAACACGAGAATGTTGAAAAAAAGACCCCCGTCAAGTCAAAAACCAACCCAAGCACCAAAAACCTTCCTTTCCCCAAACGGTCTCGGGCCCAAGCACCCACCTTGCCCATCACTCCAAGCGCGCACAAGGCAATGTGCATCAGACGGGCGTCGGGGGCCGAGTTAGCGATGTCCGTGATGTGCAAAGCCGCTGCCGGGGCGATGAAGTGGAAGAGCAGCGTGGTAACGCTCGCCTCTTGCCCGGGGGGAATGGCAGCAATTTCAGCAGGCCAGTGGCAGGAGAGTTGAAAGAGCACCTGTGGCCGGTGAATAACAAAAAGGAACGGACGGAGATCACGGGGGGCAGAGTTATGGGCAGAGTCACGACCATGTCTTCCCTTCCCATTGGTGATCAATCGATGAGCTGTGGGATTCCCGCGGAGTGTGTGGGAATGCCGGTGATGGGGCAGTGGGGGAGAAGACAGCAGCTTGCAAGGTTGTACACCGTACAGCAGCCTGTACATCTGTACCGCCGTACACACGTGATAAGGGCCGCGGGTACGTACGCACTCTTGCTCCATTCCGCGCCCTTGTGGCTCCTCCTAGCCAGCTGGGATGCCCGTCCGTCTTTGCACATAGCAGCTTTTGCCCAATTCCCTTTCCCAGCCCCAGTCCCGTCACCTACTTGTACTGCTGACATCGCCGCCTCCTGGCGACTTAGCACCGCCTCCGTGCTCGCGACCCAGCCGAGGGCCCCTAGCACCGCCTGAAAGGCCGGGATCGCCTGGTGGTCCGTCAGCCAGCTTCCAGTTGTCCTTGCACCCACCATCACGACTTTCATCAAATCCAGCAACTGTTCCGCTCCTGCAGGTCATGGAAGAGCAGGCAGGGGGCCAGGGCGCCGGTAGCCACATAGCATGCCGGATGTTAAGCGCTAATCGTTCGCCCAGTCTATGGCGCTGTTCCGCTCTAGCCCTAGCATCACCTGGCACATGGAGCCCAAGTATGTGTACCACGCCGATCCGCGGGTCTGCACCACGGACGGAAGGGACCACCCGTCGACTCGCTTCCTAATAGCAGTATAAGGATCACCGGTCTCACCGGGCTCTTGCAAACCACTCGACACGACGTGTTGCAGGAGACCGGCCACCAAGTCCAGGCCGTGCTCCCCAATCTGGTCAGCAACATGGGGAGCGGGGGCTGCGGCCGCCAGCGCTGCCACCGCCTGCAGTTTCACAGACCAGGGAAGACCGAACTCTCGAAGCACTGCCAGCACCCGCTGAACGCCCTCAGCTTCCTTGAACTTGCGTCGGATGGTCGGACCCTGCATTGATTTAAAAAATAAGGCGCGGCGATACAGCAGAGATACGCGATGTTATGGAACAACCTTCACAACTGCTTGAGAGCGCTGTGTGGGAGCGGAAAAAGTGACTGCGGATGGGACCTTTGAACGATTGCGACAGAGAGCTAGATAGAGAGCTGGTGTTCAAACCATCATGGCTCCAGGTGGCACGGGAGCTGGTCACCTAGGTGACTAGGTCACCAGGTCAAAGCCGACGTACAGCATACGTGACGTCCAGGTTATATGGGCCTGCATGAGGCAAGGCAACCAAACCGATACTGTTCCGCGTTTCGTGCAGTCACCGCGGCGAGGGGCACGACACGATACCCCCCAATCAGGGAAAGAGGGATCTCGCTAAAGCCTCTTAAATCCGGCTATATGCGCCGCGTGCGCTGATGCTGTATAGCACATCCCGTGAACATACACGTAAAAATCCTAATTTACATCACGCCCCCATGCAGCAAGGAACGCTACCTCAACACGCCATCAGTTGTTTTCCCTCCTTGACTTTGCCAATAATTTCTCCCCCCCTCAACACCGGCGCCACCGAGACGTCGACACTGTTACCACTCACTTGTGACAGAATGGTCGTCAACAGACCCAAGGCCTCCTTCACCACAGCGGCGTGCCCGCTGACGGCGCTGCCCCCACCAGCGTCCGCCCTTATGGCCGGGGCCCCCCGTCCCCTGTGCGCCTGAACAAACTCCAGCAGCAACACCATCACCTGCACCTTGAGCAATGCCTTGGCTAAGCCCGCAGGCATCTTGGAGCAGCCGTCTGCTGGGACCACTAAACTGTGGAGCATCAGCAGAAGCACCTGCAGCAGCTTGACACAGCCGGCTGGCGCTCCCGCGGAGCAGGATTGAAGGCTCCAAAACCGCATTGACGCGACGAGGCCGGAGAGGCCGATGTTGCTAGGCTGTAGCAGCTGTTCGAGCACCTCTGAGGGAGCCGATGCCGCGAGGGCATGGAGCAGCTCGGCAGCGGCAAGGGCCAGGCGCGCGTTTTGGTGGGCGAGCAGCCTAAAGGCGTGGGGCACAGGGGCGGCCTGCTGGGGGTGTGTCGCCGCCAGCACCGTGTCGGAGATCACTCGGTTGGCACGGCAGAGGGTCGTTAGTGCCATAGCCGCCGCCTCCTGAACCTGTGGTTTAGAGTATCATTAGAAACGGGAAGGAATCGGGAAACGGGATGGCAAGGGCAAGGCTGGGGGGCTGCAGGCGGATAAAACCCAGCCCTAAAACCCTAAGGAAGGTTTAGGAAAGGCGCCACGCAGTATCGGCTGCTTTCCGGGTAAAGATGCCAATATAGAAGGGTAGGGCGGGGAAAGTTATGCCCGAGCAAGCAGGATGTGCGCGTCTTCTAAGTTCCGGACAAGGTAGTGCCAAGAATTCGAAGGGTCACAACAGCATCCATGTCGTTGCAAGGAGCAACGAGACTTCGGGTTTCAGTGTCGGATATTACTCAGCTCATGCAGCTCATCGCTAAAATTGCAGCGCCTTCATCACGGAACGATCACTGCGGAACATTTCGGGGCGGATAAAACTCACTACGACAGCCAGCAAAATAAATTCCGGTAAGTTTCCAAAAATATTCAAAAAAGCTAACACTTACTTTGGCACAGTCGGTTGTAAAAGATGCGCAGATGGAGGCGGTGACGCCGCCAGCTTGCAGTTCAGGCCAGTGGGCTCCGGCATCTTCTGCCAGGTGCATAAGAAGCTGACTTTTCTTCTCGTTATTCTTGCCACGCAGGATAGACAGATGCTGATTGATAATGAGTTTCGTAAGAAGCCCTTGCGAAGGGCACTTCCAGTTATCCTGCGCATTTGGGAAAGAGCTTATACCTCTGACGGAAAACCAAATAAACAAAAAGTGCAGAGATTAGCTAAAACCCACCTCGTGACCGCGCAGAAAGCTGATCATTATCGACAGTCTGCTGCTTACTAAAAGCGGTTTGGAGGTTGGGTGTTCTCTTAATCTCTTTAGATGTAAAACTAAAAGCTGCAGATAGTGATACATTCAAAGTTCTTGATGACAGTATAATAACTCGCGGGTTATACGGCATATCACCAGATGTGGTATTGACCAGCAATGGCGGGCCATGGTTTAGAAGCCCAGGGGAATCCAGCAGTGCTTACGTAAAAACCTCTGTTGCAATTGATGAGCCACTTTGCGCGTGCGTGGGTCGACAGGCAGCAGGCACAGTTCTAAGGCTTGACACTGCTGACCTACACCAAAGCAAAGATTCGTGATTGGCTCCACGGTCCGTCAATCTGATTCTACCCGGCCATAAACCCAACTGGTTTTGTGGGCGCCCTGGCAGTAGTGGCGACCTCACTAATTGAAACCGCCCCTGCAAGGATCCCACCTATGGTGAGAAATCTATTAATGAAAAGTATAGCTCCAACTGCTCGTGTTATAAACCCGCGGCCCCTTCGATGCTCCTGCTTTTGTGCATTCCTGCAAATAAACTACCCGGACAAACTTTGGGCGTGCAGGTCATGCACTGGTGTTTCTGCTGCATATCTTTAAGAAGTCGCAACATCGCACAGAGGGGTACCAGATAAACCTCTGTGCGCTGCACCATTGATGCCGCATCCTCGCAACGTAAGAACGCGAAACAATCGACTAGGTTGCGGCGCGCGCAAAACGGTTGCATATGTGCTAGGACCGGGCTAAACAGGTCCACCTAATCAGGCATCCTGCCCGCTGACGAAACATCCCACACAAAAGGTAACAGTGCGTACAAGGACCCATAATACCTCGACACCAGAGACGCACAGCAGGGCACAGCACGATGGCGAGAATTGACTGAACGCAATGCCGGCGGTCTTGTTTGCGCTTGCAAACAATACAGTCCCTGCAAGAAAGCCTGAGGTTCTTCGTACATCCATTGAGCTGCTTTTTCTCGTTGCGGTGTAGCGCCTGCGGCCAAATAAGAGACTTAAATCGTATAAAATCAACTCCTCCAGGCTGTAAACCGACATTGCAGGATAAACATCTCCTCGGGTTGTAAACCGCCCACCAAGTGTGCGTAGCACCTAGCACCTAAACCGCCTGAAACATATGCGACATGCCTCGCCTTACATTGTGTCCACGCTCCTCTGTTCTACATGGCGACGCCGTTACTTTAATTCTCTTCCTGTCTGCTTAACGCCTGCCTGTGGATCTGTGTTAAAGGTGAGGCCTCAATCTCTCTAAGCGCACGTGCATGAGCGCATGCGTGTGCACATTTGCGTGAGTGCCCCGTCGCTCCCAACTGCTCCCACGTCCGAAACCTCCTATGGAAACGTTTGACAGTAGTGGACGTTTCGCAATGCCCGATAAAGCGAAGTCTCTGTCTGATGCACGAGTAGTGAACAGATGCATACATGTTGATCCTACTCCAGCCTAACCATAATGCCGGAGACGCCCAACTCCTCCACTGTCGAAGCGTCCCCATCATCAGCTCGCAAACTCCAATCAGAGCTTCAAGTGCACTCAACCTCATGGCCTTGGCACACGAGCTTGGGATGCCCAGACAGGCAGCGACCACCTCAACTATTATTATCCTGGCAGGCTCTCCCAACGAACTGCCTTGAAGCACAGTCTCGCGCAGGTCCTTCCACCTTTGCAGGTCCTTCCATAGCAGCCGCCGTGGTCAGCAGCTGTGATTAGCGATGGGAGGTGGTGGCCTAGTTGTACACCATCGGGTGGAACGCATGGCGGCCTGCAGCCTGTTTTAAAGCGTGACGGGTCGACCCTTTCACCTTCCCCGCAAGGCGATGCGATTACTCCATGCCACTGTGAGCTGTCTCCTGTTTATGTAACCGGCAATACCCGCCAAGGCCGCGGCAGCTGTGCGCGCGGGGGAGCCATGGGTCTGGCATGGCGCTGGTTCCCTTCATCGCTACTTTTTACATGCTGTGGAAGTCGTTGATGTTAGCCTACTGTCCGGAATACATGTCAGTACGACGACACTGCCTTGCCATATTCGGTTCCACAGCTGCTGCACGGTAAACCACCACTGGCGACGCTGTACAAGTGACGCCAGTAGCTGCGGGGACCATACCCTGCTACACCAGCCGGCAGTTGCTTTTGCATAAGTGTGCTGTTTGCCGTCCCTGCCGATCATTGCGTAAGGCGCATGTGTCTACGTTTAAAATTGAGTGACTTCCATGTTTTTCGGGCCGGCCGGCTTGGCAAGTGAGACGCGCGCAACGCCAGGCGGTGTGCGCATCCCTACGCAGGCCTAAGCGGATCATATTCGAAGCTGATCTTGTGTGGCAATCATTCTGTGCTCCATACCGAACGAACAAAAACTCAACATGACAGCTGCGCGCAGACACACGCCCAGTCTTCCAAATGTGACACTCGTGAACAGGAGTTTCCAATGCTTTGCAACGTCAACATGGATGCCGGCATTCAGGGTTCTCCAAAACCCTTTTCGTCGTGTTCGTACGTACAAGTATCCCAGCACGTCATAACACGTCACAGGAAATGGCACTAGGCTACCTTTAATCCATAGAATCATGTACTACGGTTCAGTGTTTGGTCTTTTTTACTGCACGTGGTGATAAGCAGACGGTATAAGCAAAGCGGTGTAAGGCAGAGAAGCTGCTTACCGCCCAAGCTACTCTACCGCGAAACACATCGACACGAAACAGGGCAGCAGCGGTCCGCGGGCCTTATGCAAGGCAAGAGAATATGCGCCAGGCGCGGCAAGAGGAGATTCAGCCTCCTGGCCCCTGTACTGGTCCCCGCACAGCAAGAGATTGACCACAATCCTCGCTCCTGTCAACCTGGCCCAGCCAGACAAGGCCACAAAGCATGGCGCTGGCCATGCCTCTTCCAGGCTGCATTAGGAGACCAAAGGCCCTTGGTAGGTCCGATACCCACTAGAAGTGCCTGTAAATCAGCGCTTGTAACCCAACCCATACTGTGCAGCGATGCCAAATCGCATCAAGGGCAGCTTGCAGCAGCTCGCCAGCTACCAAGCCGACGCCTGCCCTACAGAATAGCGAAAAGAAGCTACCGCTGACGCAGCCGACAGCAGCTCCACTTCCGTCGCCTCGCCCAGCTTGACGGCGACCGCATTCGCCGCCACCGACATTCCCCCCTACACCACGCGTTGCCGTGGCCACCAACGTCACCCGCAAGAATTGAGTAGACGTCGCGAGAGGCTCAAGGTCCTGTAGGTAAATGGAGGACGCTGTCCGCGTTTCTTTATCCAGTTGGTGTTCCCTTCTCCAGTTGAGTTCGCACCCACTACTGCCCACCAGCGGCCGCTAGCTGCCTAAGGTTACACCCACTCGCTGCCGTTTCCACAACCGCACCGAGTCGCCGTCCGTGGTGCCCGCCGCCGCAGCCGCGCCGCCCGCGCCCGCGGCACCACCGGGGGACCTCAGCCCGAGCTGCCGCTTCGGCATAATGGGCTCCAAGACCGCGGTCAGCGAGGGGTATGCGGTCAGGAACTGAAGGAAGTTGACGGGGTCCCCGGGCAGGACCTGACATGGGGGAATGGGTTGTCATTTGCGCGTCGAGAATGAGGAAAGAGGAGGGAAGGTTGCGTCGACACAACAAACCTGAGGGGGCACCCCCCGGCCAACCCCCACTGCGTTCATTTGACACAAAGCCCGTAAACCTCGTCGTCCACCTCCTCTCATATGCACGCCTCGGCACGATTAGAAAAATGCTCGTTTGCTACAGCTGCTACCAGCAACCGCTCAGTGTAAGCACACCTGCTCATGCTACAACTGCAATTCCATGGCTGTTAACTACCTGTACCGTTCATGGAAAGAAATATACCCTGACCGCCCATACCTGGAGCTGCTGGAGCATGGTGGTGCAGACACTCTGCGCTTCCTTCAGTCGCAGGCTACAAACGCCAGTCAGGTATTTCTCAATGTCAGCTCCCGTGACGCAGCCGTCCACCTTCCCGTCCTCCGCGTCAATCGCGGAGAAAAGCATGTGCGCGTCCCGGATGCGGGCCACCTGCAGAGGAAGGGAGGGGCCCCGCAAGACGGAGGCGACAGGATGGACAGGTGGGTGAGGGCACAGCGAGGGAAAAGCGCAGTGCGCAGGGGTTCTGTGTTTGGCTCCCCATACACACACAGCAAGCTTCTGGCACAAACTGGACGTTAGGTTTGAAGATTTTGGATGGGTGCACAGGCGGGGCGTCCACGACAGGATGACCTTATGATGATGACCGGGGTTCGGATGCAGGCATGACCCCATCCCATAGGGAGCCTGGCCTGTCACACAAGCATCCTGTATGCTTTACTTCTTAGCACATGACAGGCAAACCCATGTCCACACGCCTTCCCCCTCAACCGCGTCCCACTGCGCTGCACGCACCTTGAGCACCCCCGTATCGTTCAGCCCCAGCGCCTGCCGCAAGAAGCTGTCGTCCAGCTGCAGCAACACGAGCGCGTCCACGCCCTGGTCGATAAACGGCTGCGGGTCAAGTCGCAAACTGCTCAACACCGCCGCTAGAAGCGGCCCGCCGCCGTAAGCCGTAAAGGGCTTGTACTCCACCTCCAGCTCCCCCAGGAGGTGCATCAGACGCTTTACCCGCCACTGTGGGATCACATGCACACGGGTTAACAAGCGCGTGGAAGGAGCGATGGAGGATGGCGGCTGATCATGGAGCCCTCGCTGAGACGACCGGTACTTCAGGGGAAACGCATTTGGAATAAGCGGAGTTTGGCAGCGGAAGCTTGGAATCTGCTAGTAGTTTCTCCGAATTTCGAAAGGTCATCGCGTGGAATCCCCCGCTTGAAAGCGGCTCCGTGGCGTAATGGTGGCGCGTCGGATTCCAAAATAGGAAACCATCCGAAGGTTGTGGGTTCGATCCCCACCGGGGTCATCTGAATTCTTTTTAGTCTGGTCTGATGACACCTTTGTGTAAATGAAAGTTCTGGGTTCAATTCCTGGTCAGGCCCCCGACTATAATCGGGAGAATTAGGTTTGGAGGAGGTGTGGACATGAGGTTGAGTTGATGGACTAAGTTTCGCATGCTGAGTTGGTGCTGATGGCTGACCTGTCTCTACGGATGTCGGGTGACTGGATGAGGAGGGGTCTAGTTGGCAGGACCCAAACCGCCGTCGGTTGTGCGGTGTAAAAAACTTCCAATATATGGTCCATGGCCTCACGGCTTTGACGGACCCCCCCCCTCTCGTAACTTGTAACATATCGTGGTGGGCAGGGACTATATTATGGTGCAAGTGGCGACAAGAGGGAACGCTTTTGGCCTTGCCGGGGCCACAACTTCCCCCCCCGCCCTGCGTCTGCCCCGACGTCCCCCCCTCACTGCCCTGACGTCCTTGTAAGTCAGTGCCAACTAGCAATATGCTTTTGAGCGTGCCCGTGGTGACCCCAACAACAGCTGACGATGCTTATTGCACGCGATTATTGACTTGTGAACATCGACGTGAGCGATGGCAGCTTTGGCTTGCCCGTGTTAGCGGCCGCCTCAGCCAAGCACTGGCCAAGGCAAAAGGGTACAAGGCGTCCAAAAGCACTCGTACCTTGTTCATCGTCCTACCTGGACCTGCTGCCACGGCAGCAGCTTCATGACTGCTTCCACCACGCCCATGTCCCGTAACGTCGGCTGGTTGTCAAGCCGCTGCACCAGACCCCAGAGCAGTTGCAACAGCAAGGTCACTGTTTCCTTTAGGTCCGACCCGACCCGCTCCTTGGCCAGGTACGCGCGGCCTGCAGGAGGAATGATATGCTATGGCTCGTCGGTTGCGTGGCGCGGGAAGTCACGGGAAGGTGTTTGCGCAACTCACCATCTGGACGCATCCCGTCCGCAGCATGTACCCCAGGGGTCTGCCAGATGGGGGCGGCGTGTGCGGCATAGGGCGGAGGTGCCGCGCCAACCGCTACCAGTACCGCCGGTGCCGACGCCTCCAGGAACCGCACCACCAAGCGCAGGACAGTCCCTGACAGCACCTGCTGCTGTTGGGCCGCACCCTGTTGCTGGTCCTCATCCAGCGCCTGCACAGGGGATTGATGCCGGCGTCAGTGCCAGTGGCGTCAGTGGCCATGCAACGCAACACAGAGACGGCGCTGCTGCATTGGGCTCATTGGTCATGTGCGGGGTCATATTGCGAGGTCATGTTGCGCGGTTGTCAGATATGAAAGGCGCCAGATGCAAAAGCGGGTCCATAGAAAAATGCTGACTAGGGAGAGGCGTGCAGCGGCACTTCGGGCTCGGGACGTGCAACACGGGGTATGAGTCCAGAATACAGACCCAGATACAAGACCCAGGGATACTGTCGTTTGCTTGTAAATGAATTCACGTTAATAGCCACACGCTTTGTCCTTCAAATGCCTGCAGAACGAGGGCAGCAGGTCCCATGGCATTGAGCTGAGGTGCTCGTCGGCTCCGGCCTGGGTCCGCGTGCTGCATACCTTGCTGAGGAGCCCCACAGCACACCAGGCGCCGTGCAGCACCTGCGCGTCGCGAGCCGAAGCAGCTGCGGTGTACTCCTGTGCCCTGGTAACTAGTTTTTGCAGGGAGCCCATGGCGCCGCGAAGTGCTCGGTGCATCGGGTTGCCTGAACAGCAGGACAGCCGGAACATGACCTGCCGCCGTGGCGGAACAGGAAGAGGGGCCGGGAATCCGGAATCGTGGGACAGACCTTTCCTAACATAGGATAGAGGTACTTGCGGAAAATCCGCCTTGTCAAACACAAGTAGTACCTCAAGGAGGCGGTCGACAAGGGAGGGAAAGGAGGAACAACTTCAGTAATCCCTTACGTACCGCCTCTGACCATCCAGACCGCAACTAGGGCCACCAGGCCCTTCACAACCTGGCTCTCCCCTGTTCACCCTCCCCACCTGAGCAGCTGCGGTTGCTACCCGGTATCCGTGTCCAGTGAAACTCGACAGGCCGTTGTCCAGCGCCGCCAGCAGTGCTCCAAACCGGCGCTCCTCCAGTAGCTCTGTCGAGGGCGCTACCCGTGTGACCGCATCCAGCAGGCCGAGCAGCTGCTCCACCACGACTGCAGTACGCGGCTCCGTGTTCTTGCTGCCGGTCGCGGAGGCCGCCATGGGACTCCCAAAGGCTGAGTTCGCGGGGGATGCCGGGGCAGGGGTGACGGGCGTGCCGGGGACGCCGGTAGCCCGGACGGGCGTGGTGGCCGATTCTGGGGGAGCGCGGGTTGGGAAATGAGGGAGGGAACGTTGAGAGTGCTGCATTGTGCCGTGGTAGGCCGCTTTGCATGGTTGCTGCGGACCAGCTAGCTCGTCGCGAGATGAAAGCCTACTACGCAGAAGCAGGAAAAAAGCATGTGGTGAGACTCGCGGCCAACAACAGATACCTGAAATCTTTGCCTAACCACCAACCCACGCCTAACCACCAACCCACCAATCCAACTGTCTCGAGAGAGGCCCATTGAGGCGGTGGTCTCTCACCCAAACATGCATGGAATATCCTGCCATGTTATACATCCCCTGCCCTTGCATATCCCCATTCCCTTAACCCACCCGGCGCGCCCGGGACGAGCCGGCCACTGACGAACGCGTTTACCATGCAGACCACAGTGTCCAGCCCGCGCTTCCGTACGTCCTCCGCCACCGCCGGGGACGAAGCTGATGCTGTCAGCGCAGCCAACGCCTGTAGCCGCACCGACCAGGGCAGGCCGAGCTCACGAAGCACTGCCAGCAGCCGCTGAACACCATCGACCTCCTGAAGCTTAACACGGTGCGCCGGAACCTGCAGGGTGCCGATAAAAACTGTAACAAGGCAACTGTAACACGGTACTAGGTTTTCGCAATGCCGTTGTTTGCCCGTTGATTTGGGGAAGTTGCTGGGGGGATATCAGCCATCGGTCCTAGGCCAACGTTATTAGCAGCGTGGACAAACCATGCAAGGCAAACCCAGCATTTGGCTTGTCCAGCTACAGACCACACTCATCCCATATGATACAAAAAAGGAGAGTCATCATCGGTAGCGTAGCATGACATGAAGGGGGGGTTGCTAGAAGTCGGTGTAGGCCAACCTCTCGACAGTAATGAGTGCACCAAGGACGTGCCGGTTGTGTTCGGCGGCCAATGACCAACATGACGTTATTCCCTGTTAACACGATCGCACGGCAGCTAAGGACTTCAAGCACGGCACACAGCACGACTGACCCACCTGCGACAGCACCAGGAACAGCAGATATAGCGCATCCCGGACCACGGCCGCATGTCCGCTGAGGCTGCCGCTTTCGCTGGCTTCCCCAGCCGCCGGCAGTAGGCCCTGCCGCCCTCTGTAATCCTGCACAAACTCCAACAGCAGCGCAACCACCTGCGCCTTGAACAGCTCCCGGCACTTGGCCACGCCGACGGTGGTCGCCACGCTTTGCAAAACCCTCAACAATCGGCGCAGCAGCTTCATGTAGGTGGGCGCGGCGGGCTCTGAGGCTGCCAAGGCCTTCTGGCTCCACGTCCGCATCCGTTTGAAGAGATCCTCAATGCAGCTGGACTGGTTGAGGTACTGTAGTACAGCAGAGGAGTCTGATGCGGCCAGAACGTCCAGCAGACCGGCTGCCGCAAGCGCCAGGTCGATGTTCTTGTGCTCAAGGAGCTTGGTTGCGAGAGGCAGGGGCTTCTTGCTCCCGTGGTGGGCAGCCAATACGGCCGTGCAGTTGCCTAGGTGCTCATCGCACAGCGCTGCCAGAGCGTTTGCAGCCGCTGTCTGTACCTGCGGGCTTTTGGAGACGAACAAAGTTATAGTTCGCTACGACCAGAAGCCTGGTCCGAACTTTGCGAACCTTGTTGGCCTGAATTTATCATCGGAAAATCACCCAGTTAGCAAGGGTGATTATTCCTTCTTCGCCCCCGTATTGTCCCAAGTTCATCCACCTCCTTAAGGTCAGTTACAAGTGCGTCTTATCACGGCCATATTTAGCTGGGCACAGCAAGGGAAGCTCCGGCCCATGGGTCGCCCAGCCAGCTCGTTCTAGTTCTGCCTATTCCGCACATTTCAGGCTATTTTTGCACTGTGTAAGGTAAGTATTCACAAAAATAACGTGTTACTTATTTGCCACTGTGCGTTCAAGATAACTTCGGTTCTCACCGGCGCAGAACCAGACAGGAAGCAGCCGCAGACGTCAGCAGTAATCTTTGCATGGCCTAAAGCAGTCTGCAGCTCCTCGCTACGGTCTGCCAGGTCCACGATGTGCTCCAAAAGTCGCTTTTTAGAGTCATCACTACCAGAATGGAGAACCTGGCGCTGAGTCTTCAGTACTTTCTTACTCGGGACGCCTTCTCCATCCCATTTCCAACGGGCCTGCATGTCATGGAGAGATGATATGCACCAGTGTTTGCAAACCAACACCGTGACTGCTCCGACAAAAAAGTTTCTGCAAGTCTAAGCCTTACAGCGGATGTGAATAAAGACCACATAGTTGCACCAGTTATCGCGAAGGTGAGGTTGCTAGAGGCATCATCTAGGTCAACCCTGCTTCCAAGTCAACCTGTTTCTCCATTTAGGATGGCAGCCATGTGTGCAAGTTATTGAATTGGCGAAGGGGAAGGCAGCTTGATGTAGCCCCTTTGCAAGTTATGCCGTTTTCATACATTCACGAAAACGGAGAGTGCCGTACTTCTGCTACGATGCTACGATTGGCATTAGACAAGCCTCTGCTGAACCTTATCCTTTCGACCTCTCATCTGCAAGACTGCAAGCCACCTGATAAACCTGATTCCATCTCAGGCCGTCCGACTGTGCCTTCGCACGTTCGCATCGTCATAGCTTTCTCAGGACGAAGGAGAATGCAAGATGCGGATGACAAGGGGGTGGATGACATTCCCAATACCTCAGCGTCGTTGCCTCAACCAACTGCCTTTTCGCAACCTCGGCCGACAGCGGTCCGAACGCGTACTCAGGATGTGGTTTCGGATGCAGCATCCTTCCGAGAGCTCATGGTGTCAGAGGCCCTGGTCCGTAGCCTCTTCGCTGCGGGCTTCGAGCGGCCATCGCCTGTGCAGAAGGCCGCGATCCCTCTCGGCCGCGTCGGCACGGATCTCATCGTTCAGGCCAAGTCAGGAACCGGAAAGACAGTTGTATTTGCCGTCATCTGCTTGGAGCGTGTTAAGCCGGAGCTGAATAGTGTGCAGGTTCGTTAGCGGCGCACAGTTGGTGTTTAACTAACGGATAGGCTGCTGTCCCGCGCAACACGGCATCACCTTCCAATCGGGACTAATCATGAAGCACCAACCCAAAGCATGCTTTTGGTTACACCTTTATTGGCTGAGGCACATCACCGGTCCTCAAAGCCCAACGTTGGCTCATCACTACAGGCACTCATTCTGGCGCCCACTCGCGAGATCGCCATCCAGAGCGAAGAAGTCATCCGCACCCTGGCTTCGGAGCTACCGCACCCGGCGTTGACGTCCGCGGTGTTCGTGGGCGGCCTGCCCATGGTGGACGACGAGAAGAAGCTGCGCAGGTGGGGCCGAAATCGGGATCCACCCCGGAATTGGGTTAGTGTGACTATGGGCCCCATGGGGCCTTGCTGGTGGACGTGCAGCGTCGCGGCTTGAGCTAGCGCTGTCAAGGCCGCCAGTCGTGGACCATGTCATGCCGTGTATGTACGGCAAGTACGTTATGTAGGCCTGTGGACTTTGGCCGACACGTTGACTGCGCGGGTAGACCGGGGCTTGTGGCCCAGTTGTTTGTGGTTTTGCGCAGCGCGCAAGCAGCCCGCGCGGCTATCCAGTCAGTGTTCCTGGCCCCGGCTGGTAAGCAGCTTTGTAACCTCCTGCCGCGGTGTTGCCGGTGTGAGACAGTGCATCCCGGCCCTGTGCGACTAGCTGGCTATGGTCATATCCATTAGGGCGGAAATTAAGTAGAAGACTCAGCTGCAACGTGGAGCCGTTGGCGACCATCGTTCGTGTGCCGCTCGTGTGCCAGATGCCCCATCAGCGCCCGTCCTTATCCCAATATCTTAGCCTTTTAAAGCTCGAATCGTCCCTTGCCTCACCTTGCCTGCAACAGCCCTTGCCCCATTCCAGCAAGCGCAATCCAGTCCCGCAGCGCCATTCAACCCCATGACCTTCGCCCTGCGTTCACCATCTCCATGCTGTTATCACATCATGACACCATGATGGTGGATATATCCCAACTCGGCGTCCGCTTCCCCGTGCCCCTTGTCGACGATCTCACTACGGGTGGGGCTCTCAGGTTGTGTCACGTAGCTGTGGGCACTCCGGGCCGCGTGGGGGCGCTGCTGCAGGCCGAGCGGCTGGTGACGAAGTCTCTGGCGCTGCTGGTTCTGGACGAGGCGGACAGCCTACTGGGGGACAGCTTTTACGAGGATGTGACCTGGATATATGACCAGCTGCCAAAGCGAAAGCAGGTGAGGTCAGGTGGGGCGGGCCTGAGGTGGAGGTGGAGGTGCTGTGCTGTGCTGTTGACTGGACCCGCGTCTGGGGGTGGCGGGAGAGGGACACCCGAGTGCGAGGGCTGAGGTCCACTGTGGGTGCTGATAGGGGAAGGACTGTGTCATGCGGGATTGACACGGAGGAAGGGGGGTAGGATTGCAGGGTCGTTTCTTTTCTTTGCTCTGGTCGGTATGATGGCTGACGACAGGTAAATGTGTAGACCTTTTACCTCGATATTTGTGTCTGGGTTTGAGATAGAGTTCGCCGCGTTGCGGCAAGATGGGAGTGAAGTTGATGTGGGTTGGTGGTGCCCGCGCTGCGCCCTGTTGCTGGTGGCGCACCGTGGCGCACCGGCATGCATCGAGCCAGCAGGCGATCCGTAGTCGTGCACGGGGGTCGGTTTGGTGACCCCGTGCAGCAGGGAGCCCTCGTCATCTCCTCGCCATCCGCGTCGTAAACCTTTCTCCTCTAACCCAATCCCTCCGGAGCCATATCATTACAACTTTCCAAATAGTCCTCTCCCTCTTATGCGAACTCAGATTTGGGGTGCATAAGGGTTAGCATCTTACAGGCGGATTTCGCTTCCTTAGGTTTTAAAAGCCTACACTTCTCCAATACCCTAACTCTCTCATGGTTCTCGTAACCACTTCTGGGTCTGATTCGGAGCCGGGGTTAGTATTGCATAACCTCCCGCCTTTCTGTCTCGCCGTTAGGTGCTGGCCTTCTCTGCCACGTATACTTCTGAGCTGCTGGCGGACCTAGAGCCCCTCATGCGGCGACCACAGCGAGTCATGATGTGCTCCGAAACCGTCAGCCTGCTAGGCGTAAAGCAGTTTTATGCGCTGGTAGCTGCCGACCCCGGTTCGAGCCCGGCGGCTGACGGGGAAGTGGGTGCGGGCAGCGTGGGCGAGCCCAGAGCGGCTGCCTCGGCTGTGGCTGCCGCGCCGGTAGTGTTCCGGCGCAAGGTGCAGCAGCTGCTGCGGCTGCTGGCCGGCGTGTCATTCCACCAGGTGCGGCTGGGAGGTGAAGTGTGTCAGGGCTGTGGGGCATATGGGACTAGAAGCGCCGGGGGCGGGGGACTCCTGGACGTGCGATGAGCATTGAGCAATGTCCAGGACTTGACTGTTAACTAGCCAAAGAATGACCTGGACCTCCATCTTGAGCATTACAGGGGGGAATATGTGCATCAGGCCCTTGCCAGCTCCTGACCCTGACCCCGCCAATGACCGACAGCGGCATCGGCGGTGTCGAAGATCTCAACCTGTTGCTAACCTCGGGCCGCCTCGTCACAGTTTTTTGTCTGGTGCCCGCCATGTCTAAATCCCAGGGCCTTGTACCAACATTGTTCGGTAACCGGTTCTGGCCCTACGCGCAATATCCAGGCCGCCGTGTTCTGTAACCACAAGCCCCGCGCGGAGTGGCTGGCGGAGCAGCTCAATGCCGCGGGGTATCCGGCCGCCTACCTGTCGGGGGACCGAGCGCAGAGCGAGCGCATGGAGGCAATGGCGGCGGTGCGCGGTTTCAAACTGAGGGTGCGTGAGTGCGCGGGCGCGGCGGCAGAGCTTACCCACAAGGGGGCCAGCGACTTAAAGTTTACAGCGCATATTATCCGCCTGTAGTTTAGTAATACACAAATAAACATTGCGATAAGCTTGGTTTCCTAACGTCACTCTCGAAGTGCGTGGCCAGGTGGGGTCGCACCACGGTGCGCATAATGCGACTTCTCCCCTTGCGGCTACGCTCCGCAAGAAGCAATTTGCTAGTCAGCTTCACCGTTATGAACGGAACAGGATTACTGCCCGGCGCAACAGGTTATGGTGTCAACGGATGTCATGGCACGCGGCGTTGACCTGGAGCGAGTAAACCTGGTGGTCAACCTTGACCTTCCGCACGATGCCGCAACATACATGCACCGAGTCGGCCGTACCGGACGCTTCGGCAGCCGCGGCGTCTGCGTGTCGTACGTCACGGAGGCCGAGCTAGCGTTGCTGGTGTCGTATGTGGATGAGCAGGCTGCGGCGACCGCCGCCGCCGCGGCGGCCGCAACCGCTGCTGCGGAAACCAACGGTGGTGGCGCGGGTGAGGATGGCGGCGCCGCAGCTGCGGGTGAGGATGGCGGTGGTGGTGGCGGCGCCGGGGAGGTGCTGCTGCCGCTTCCAGATGCCATTCCGGAGGATCTATATAGCTTCGAGCTTGGGAACGAGTGGGAGCGACAGGCGTTGCGGCAGCTGGTGCAAAAAGAACGGCAGGCTCGGCAACAACAACGGCAGCAGCAGCAGCCGGTACAGCTGAAGGACCAACAAAACTCCACATCAAAGGATACTGCCATTGCAGAAACCGGCACTTCATCCAGCACTGCTGCGGCAGCAACGGCAGCCTTGGAGGATGGGGAGCTGCCGGCGGAAGCAGCGGCGGAGCAGCTGCTGGATTTACCGCCACTACCGGAGGAGATCGAAGCGGTACGCAAAGCAGAGCAAGCGGCGCAGGCGGCGGCAAGGAAGGCAGAAAAGGCGTTGCGGAAACAGCAGCAGCAGGTCCAGGTCCAGGAGCAGGAGTCCGCGCAGCAGCAAGAGCAGCAGCAGGATTATGTGCTGCAAGGGAGGCCAGTGCAGGCGTACGGATACAATGGATACGGCAACGGTTGGTATGGGTACGGCGGGTATGATTACAGCGGCTATGGTTATGGAGGTCCTGCGGCAAGTTGCGACAGGTGAGTTTTGTGACAGCCACTGTCCATTGACTCAATCGGGTGCGTCCGTCCGTGCGGCCCATCAGTTTATCGTCTATCTCTGGTATTAGCTTCATTCGTCGGTGGTTTGTTTTCCCCGGTTTCAGTTTGTGGCGCTTTCGCCTTTCACTTTGGCTGCGCGATGCTTCCGGTCGCACCGCCGTTTTCTGCAACGCTTCAGCTGAGAACCTCCAGAGTTCTTAGGGACTATCACCTGAATGCCACATGGCCGCAGCAGCACTTGCTTCTCGCGGCTCAGTTGATTAGGACATAGCGGCCTTTGTTTTTCACCAGAGCATTCGCTTTTTTCCGTCCTAATTGTTGAGCCGAGGGAGAATGGGGGGAGGTGAAGGAGATGAGTTGATGAAGGAAAGGAACGAAAGCGCCCTGCTGGGGCCCACGCTGAAAGGTCATCCCAGGAAGTCGGCTGGCGACTGCCGGTGCCCTGGTGTGAAGTTGTCAATATTATGATTACACCTGGTCTTGATGTGATGGTCTTGACGTGATGCGAATCGTGGTGCGAATTCTTCTTTTTCCTTGCGCGCAAAACTGAAATCCATGCAGGACCGCTGCTCAGTCCTACAAGGACCAGTACCCTACACCCCACGACGCCGCTTACAGTTATCAGAACAGCAGCCACGCGTATTACCACCATCCCGGGTACGGGTACGGGACATACGGCACGTACGGCAGTGATGCATCGGCTGGGCAGGACGCAGCCGTGGCAGCATGGGCGCGGTACTATGAGGAACGGAACGGGGAATACGGCGGCGGCTGGGGACCTGCGGGTTGGCCTCCTAGCTGGCGCGCCGAGAGCAACACCGGCTCTGCATCTCGGGCCAGTGGTGCGGACGGGCCCCCTGGTACTGCCGGTACACCTGCCGCTGCGGCCGCAGCTGCCGTCGTGGGGGCATCTATAGGTATGGGTCAGCAGCAGCAGGCGCCAGCAGCTACGACAGCCGCAGCAGATCGGGTGGGCCGTGCCCCTGGTGGTATGGATGAAGCACCGCAGCAGCTGAGATGCCGTGGGAGCCGGGGCGCAGATGCGGCTGGGGGTGGGGCCGGCGTTGGAGAGCCTGGCCTAGGGCAGGCGGTCCTCGAGGAGGAGGACGACGAGGGAGGCTCGGAGCTCAGTTTTGGTGCGCTGGGGGGAAAGGTGGTGCCGCCTGAAGCCGCAGGTGTCGTTCCCGCAGTGCTGCGTTGGGGCGGCCGCGGCGGTGGGAGGCGCCCGTTGGCGTCTCCGGGGCCGCTAGTAGCCAGCGGTGTCTCGGCGGCGGCAGGGGGACTACCGGCCGCGGGAGCAGGTGCGGCTGCGGTGGAGAATGATGGTGGTGGTGATGGTGGTGGTGAGGAGGAAGTGGCGGGTGGACAGTGCGATGGGAACGACGAAAGCGGGGCAGAGGCGGAGGAAGAGGAGGCGCAAGGGGACGAGGACGATAGCTGGGTGTATGGTGACGAGGATTTCGGTCCAGATGCGGCCAAGGTGGTGGATAATCTTTTGGTGCTGCTGCCACCTTCACCGCGGCAGCAGCAGGGGCAGCGGCAGCAGCAGCTAGACGCTGGCGCAGCACCGGCAGTGGCAGCAGATCCGCGGCATCCTCGTGCCACTGGCCATGAGCCCGCCCCGGGGTCGGCAGCGGGAGCAGCTGCCCACCCTGGCGCAGGCGGTGTAGCAGCGGGAGGGTCCGGCGTTGGTGCTGCTCAGTCGTGGCCGTATTCGTACAACAGTACTTCGTACGATCCGAATGCAACGTACTATAACCAAGGGTGGTACGGCTATTACGAGGGGCAGCAGGGCTATGGGAACACGCAGGGCGTTCACGGAGGCGAAGGAGCTCGCGGGGATCCTGGCTGGGCGTACGGCAGCTCCCTATGGTCTCAGGATCCCAGCAGGTATCCCCCACAGGCTGCTGCGCAGAGCCGCAGCTACACCGCCCCGCCGCCTTACCCGTCGCTGCCTTCCTACCATCACCACCATCCACCTGGCGCCTACACCCCCCACCCCGGCGGCCATGATCGCCACTTCCACCACCATCGCCATGGGCACCATCACAGGCACATTTTTAGCGAGCCGCAACAGCCGTACAACACAGCGTACGACTGGCATGGGTATGCGTCGTATGGTAATTACTCGCAACCGCGAAGTTGGTGGTACGACCATGACGTGGATCCACGCACGCAGCCTGTTCGCTGCTCGGAGTGCCTACACCGGATGTTGCGTGAATACGTACGGCAGCAGTACGCGTGGCAGCAGGCGTACGCAACGTGGTACGAGCAGTATAAGCAATGGTACGATGGTTGGTTCCAAGAAGAGGCGACGGCGCCGCCGCCAGCGAAGGCTGCTGGCCCGTCAGGTGCATGAGGGAGGATAGGAAACGCAGCTCGGCACGTTAAATCTGCAGTTGAGGTTTGACCTGATTAACTTGGGCCCCTTTTTTGGTGAGAGTTTTCTTTCCTGTGCATTCGTGTTTACACGATTAAGATTCCTGTGCTTTGGTGTTCCACAGCAGTGTTTGGATGTTGGAGAGTCCTGTATGTGCGTGAGATTTTAATGCGCATGTATCGGCAGTCCTGCATCAGAGGTACATAGCAGGACGGCTGAGTATGCGTACATGCCAGGAGGCTGTCAAATGGGAGCACCTTGATGTGGGGTTCAGCAGTGACCTCAGGGGAGGGCGCCTTTTTATCATTTACACTATATACCGGTGTCTGCTGTAAATGGGGCGTAGGTGCAGTGTGAGAAGGCCTGCACTGGGCTCATCCGCTCGAACACCAAAAAGGTCTACAAACTTCTTGGTCACAAAGCTGTATATTGTTTTTCCAGAAACCGCCGTCGCTCCACTGCATGCTGGGGGACCTTCAGCTCCAGCTGCAAGTGGTTAGTTAGGAATCGCGACGCCGTTTGGACACCGAAACGGAATGTCAAGCCACGTTAATATGAGCAATAGCCGCGACAGCAGCGGGCCCACGAGCCGACCCGCACCAACTGGATTTTTAAACCCATGTATCCAGCCAGCATTCTCTCCAAAGCCCATCCGCTGGTCTGTCAAAAGCCGGTCTCCCCAGCGCTTGCGCCTAGGCTAGTGTGTGGGTCTTCTTTCCTCCTCCGGCCGTGGATGCCGCCTTGGCGCCGGCGCTCTTGCCCACAAGATGAGACAACGAGGCCAAAGTAGCTTGGCCTGCACGCCGGGGTCGGAGGAGAGGGTATATGTACCGAGTACTCTGTCACTGTACTTGATGATACTCAACGGTAGGGTTCCCGAGGGGACGAAGTCAACTGCTTCCCCACACCGGGGGAGCACCCAGCGGCGCAAGGGTGTTCCGGTGTGCGGTTCATTAGCGGCGGCAATACTTTACTTCGCCACATTACGCCAGCGCTGCACATTACAGACAGAGCAGGCACCACGTCCATCGCCAGCTCGTCACGCGTTGCTGAACTGCCACCGCTGCTTTAACCTTCCTGGATTACTGCCTAATATTCTATAAGGAACACCCATATTCATGGTGCCCAGCCCAAACCCAAGCCCCAGCAGACAGACACTCACCCACTGTTGAGTTGTGGAAGCCGGTGCCCTTTTTCGCCGCTCGGTATGACTCAATAACTTGTTGCCGCAACTCCTCCGTCTCCGCATCCATCTGATAGGTTTTGGGAACAGGGAAGGTGTAGAAGAGTAAGACAGGAGCTAAGGGACGTCCGGGTAAGGTCCGGCTTAGTCCAAGGGCCCGGCGACTGCTGAGTGCTCTCCACATCCAGCCCTCCCCGCCAAGATGGTTAAGATGTGGCCCACTCACCGGAGCCTTCCGTTTGCGGTTCTGCTGAGCAGAATCGCCATCCGCACCCTTGGCCGCCTTGCCGCCCTTCCCGCCGCCGCCTTTGCGCATAGCAATGCCATCATCCGTCCGTGCCGCGGCCCCAGCTGCAATCTGCTGCTGCGCTTGCTGCATCTGCTTCAGGAATACCTCCTTGCACCGCTCGTTGGCGGTCTTCTCCTTCTCCGCCCAGTGCTTGCGCTTGAGGTGCACCTGCAGGGGTGCGTGCACGACCTGCGCAAAGGCACCATATGGTATCGCGGATGCCCCCCGCGGCGCGGTAGATCGGAAGGTCTGGGATAAGAAGACAACATGTGGGCGGAGAGCCCTTGGACTCATGCTTTCGCAGCTAAGTGGTCTGGAGCCAGGAAAAAGAGTAATAACGTAAAGCCTGCGTGGGCAATGAGCACACATGGGCCCAAGGGCGCAAAACTCTAATGGAAATCCTCGTTCAAACCAAAGCTGCCAAGGCACCCAACCCTAGGCGCCGCAGCCCGCACTCACCTCGCCAAATTTGACGTGGTCTTTCAATTGTAGCTCCTTCTCCACCACCACCTGCCCGCCGGTGCCTTTGCGCCGCTTCTTTTCCGCCTTCCGCTTCAAATATTCTTTCTTTCTGTCTTTAAGCTTCTTCTGCACAAACTGCTCCGTGAATGGGTTAGCGCCCTTCACCGCAAAGGCGGCGGGGGCGGATCCACCGTTGACATTTCCGTCGCAACCTTCTTCCTGACGCTGCTTCTCCCGGCCCTCCTCCGCTCGCCCGGATATGGACGGCTCATCGTCGGCTCCGTCGCTCGCCTTTGTCAGCCCAGGGGCCTTCTTGCTTTTGGTACTGGCTGCAGACGTGAACCATTTTTCAAGGGAGCGGGGGTACCGTTGCGAAGCTACGGCAGTGTCATACCGAGAAGGGAAATTCACTGTGGATGGTGCAGAGAATATGAGGGTGTGGAAGGGTGTCTGACGTCTAAGCCTAGGTGGGTGCGCGAGTGTGTGTGTGCACCACACTCGCACCTGTGAGACTGGGTACGTCCTTCGTGGTCATGGATCTCTAGTTCCAATGGACGCCATTGCCAATTTGCTCATACGGCTCTAGCCACTCGGTAGTCAGTTCCAACTAGCGCCGAACGGGGATCCCGAACTCGCCAGCCGCAGCACGTATTTCAGGCAGGAGGGACAGGCCTCGCGGCCAACACCCACCTGGCGCTTTAGATGGTGCAGAGTTTTCTACGCCTTTGCCACCGGCTCGCTCGTGTTGAGCAGCTGCCGCCTGCTAATATGAACGGCCGAAAGCAATTCGTCAAACCGCGACCAACGACTTAGGTGCGCCAAAGTCGCAGGTGCGGTCTGTAAGGAGATGCGACGTTACGCGAAAGGATACCTTCAGCGCCAGCATTTTCCTGAGAGACGCAGGCAGCTTCTCTGCATCCTTTGGTTTTGGTGCTTCCGGTAAGTCCGTTGGTAACGCTTTGCCATTCTGCACCACAACTTGCGACATCTCAATATTGCCCGATATTGCTCAATAGGTCTACAGGTTCTTTGGCCCATACCGCAATTTTGTGTAGGTTGCCCCGTGCCGCCTCCAAGGCACGCTTAAGGCGCCGCCGCTGTGCTATACCTTTGGGCATATTCAGGTGCGTATAATTCCTATAAAAGCCCTGTCACAGCTAGTGGGCTTAGCGACTAGCAAGGGCCCTAGAACGAACGTGTACTTGCAGACGAGAAGAGCTTCATAGCACTGAGAGAATTGGGGTCCTAAGCAAAAACATCGCAGCCCAATTTGAACCATAATCGACCCTTTCCCAGGCACTTGGAAAACGTTCCCGTCTTTCCGGCTGTACAAGTGCCGTACGTTTACAGGCGGGACCGAAACTCGAGGCCTAACCCTCATCCGGCCCCGTTTCTGTCAGTTGGTAGTGGTTGAACATTACCTTTGACCTGGCACTGTTGTACTCAAGAGCACGTAATACGCCTGCCACACGGTCTTGCTGATCCACGGTATGACCATGAGTCATTCGCAATTAGAGGAGCATTAGACAGATGACTAGCTCTCGAGCAGCTTAACAAGTGCTCATGTCCACCGGCGACTTGAATGGCAATCTTCAAAGGCTCCTTCGGGAGTTGAAGGCGATTAAGTGCGCGGCGAACGTTGATGAAGTTGGGTAAGCTTTGCGGTTCCTGCAGAGCTATCGTGTCGGCCAGCGGGACAATACATATTTGTCGTTGACCGCCATCATCGCGACGCACAGGCTTCGCTTGGGTGACCCCGTGGCACTGCTACCATTGCTCAACTTTACACTTCTTAAATTTTCTCGCCATGTGGCGCGCTTTATTGTGCGGCATGGGTTCGAGGTAGGTTGAGCAGCTAGACCAGTCGCCAACCCCTTTTGACTCCTCGCTGACATGCAGCCTTCCTTTATCATGAAGCTTGCTGGCAAGACGGACCAACGTTTTGTTGAATCCTGCTTCAAGCTATTTAGGGAGGTGCTTAACGTGCGTACAGTCCTGACACCGAGCCAGTTTTTTGAGCAAGGCTACGCAGAGCGGAAAGTCCTCCTGTTGTGCGACATCATAGCGGTATGCAAGAAGTTGCACAATGAGGAAGTGCGCCAGGAGCGCCTGGCAGCGCTCAAAGCATCTCGCCAGGTAGGGTACGAGTCGGCTTCCTTGTTGTTGTCGTCGTTGTTACTATTCCAGGGGCCTACCAAGTTTCTATAACGTTAGGCAAAGAAACTGGGCCAAAAGGCACATCGCCTGTCGCTATAATAGACACAGGCCTGGAAAGGAAGGACAAATGGTCCCGTACCGGCACGCACAACACCTCAGCAAGCTCGGCTTCGACTAAGACCGGGCTAGCACTATTGCCAACAAGGGGATTTTAATAATAAGGCCCCCATGTGAATGACAAACTCATGCCTACAATTACTGGCGTGCTAGTGTTGCCTCAATATGAAGAAGTGCGGCCAAATACACACGGTACCGCCTTCCTAACAAGCTGCGTCACACTAGGGTTGGAATCACCGATCACCTTCGTCTGTGAGCGGATCCATGCCATCGTCCTCTACTAGCCGTAAAAAAGGGTGGTGAGGTCCAACTGTGCTCCAACCACTCTTAGGTTGGCCTAATGCAGTAAAAGAACGTAACTGAACCCGAAAGTCAACAGCCACTCTGTGGATGGCCCGGTCCATGATTTGAGCCGATGGGTAACGGGACCACCTATGAGGCCGATAACGGCTGATTTGTCACTATCTGCTTCAAAATAAGCTCTGAAATGTACGGCAGCCGTCTTGTGGAATGGACATGCGGTACCAGTTATTGAAGCAAGGCGGCGGGCGGAGATCTGAACACAAGGAACTTCCGCCTGCTTCCGGCTTCCGTGTGTTACAGTTACCTGGCAGAAGCACCCTCAACATCCGTCTGCTTTCTTGGATTACAGGACCATTTAAGCAGTCGGCTAGCCACACCCCGCAGAAGCAGCCCTCAGGTCAAGGTGAGGCACGGGGACACGTTTCTGGGTAGAAGTTCGGGACACGGGTGAAGATGGATATCCAGGGTGAAGATAGATTTCCAGCGCAACAGGAATAGGTCCATGCTCCTTTTGATCCTCTTGCGTTTAGGTTTGTAATATAAGGTTATACAGCATCCGTTCTACGTTTACACGTCAACAGGTGGTCCGAAGCGATAATATTGAGGTCCAGCAAGTGCTCGCGCCGCAGCATTTGCCAAACGCCTCCGACGCAGGACAGTCTGTCTACAAGCCAAAAAGGGTGTTGACAACGTCACGTTCACCTTCTCCATCCGCAAGCGGGCAGCCCACAGCAGGTGCGTGTGCACGCATGTATGCAGCTGCCTAAGCGCACGCCTTCACGTGTTATCCTGATACCAAAGAACTGCAAGATATTCCATATGCATGCAAAACTCCCAATGGCCGTGGGAGGCCTTCATCCCCGTCAACTCAAGGTCTGCTCCCGGTCGATTGCAGCCAAGGGCGCGTCACGGCCTCAAGGTACGCCAGCGCAGGCGTCGCTTGCCGGCAGCCAGGGGCCAAGCCTGGAGCTGACCTTCCGACCTGCGGCGCCCGCGAACATTGGGCACCGGCAGGGCCCAGCCGGCTCGGCTGCTGCACAGCCGCCCATCCGTACATGGTTCATGAACCCGGCCTTTGCCGAGGGAGATGAGGCAAATGTGGACCTAGGCGTGGGCACTGGCTTGGGCTTCGGTGCCACAGGTGGGGAGCGATGTAAACCAAAGATGTAACCAGAATGTCGGTGAAGGTTTGCGACTGGTAACACTGGGGGAGCATTACGGACAACTTCGACCGTAACCTAACTACCTAGCTGGTTGCACCAGTTATGGAAAAAATGCTGGTAGACAAAAAACAGGACCATGTAACACTAGCCTCCAAAATTGTGCAGGTCGGCCCGACAGCAGCGCGTGGTGGCGGCTGTCCCCCAATCCACCTGAGCAGCCACAGCAACAGGCGGCTTCATTTTGGCGAAGTGGTGTAGCGGCTGCAGACACCGGCCGCACCCATGCAGCGGTGGACAGCAGCATATGCACAGGCTTGGACAGCGAGAGACACCTATCCTTCGGCAGGCAGCCAGCGGCGGCATCGACGACCGTAGCAGCATCGGAGGGCTACCAGCGGAAGGCTGCACTCCAGCAACAAGGACAGTTAACGCATCAGCGCCAGCCGGAGCGAGGGGCCTTGCAGCCAACGCAGCAACAAGGGACTAATGCTGCGGCGCTGCGCCAAGATGGCACTGCTGCAGCAGTGACATCGGCAGCTACTGCTGGCGGCAGTGGCACTGCAGGTGGCGGCCACAGCCTGCCTGCACGTGACCTGGATGAGTGGAGTTTTAGCAAATTTTTTGGTCCGGCCAAAACTGTGCCACGGCGTCGGAGAGTGAGCAACGGCGGTGATGGCGTGGACAGCTCGAGCCAGCACCCTGGGAATAAGAGCGATGGCGAGTTGGAAGCGGTGCACGGGGCCGATGGTGCAGCTACTGGGGAAGATGATGATTTGGAGCGCGACGGACCCGCCTCGGACCAGGACCGCCGGAATGCCAGGTTACCAGCACACAGGGCTCGTGCAGCAGGGCTTTCTCCAGCTAGCAAGCAGCAGCAGCAACCTGCCGGTGCCAACAGCGCGCCTGCCGGAGGGTCTGGCCCTCAGACCACCAGAGCGGATGTGGACTGGCCAGTGCAGTTGGCGAAGTTGGAGCGGGAGATGCAGCAGCAGTTGCAGCAGCTGCAGAGCAAGCTCGCTTCTACGGAAGAAGAGCTTGAAAAATCGAGGTACGAACGGATAAGTGGGCAGGCTGTGCATTGTACAAAAGCTGGATATGCGATTGCCTAATAATGGAGATTGCACCAGCATACTTTCGAAGGAGGTCCGTTCATTGCTCAGTTTCGCAGAGCGGCTGGGCAAGTGGTACCCCTGATTCGCCCTCCGAATGCCGCCGTGTACTTTCCTCTCCTTAGGTCGGAAGCTCGGCAGACCCGCGAAACACTCCAAGCCCGCGTGACAGTCTTGGAAGGCCGCGTGCGCTTCTTGGAGTGCGAACTGGAGTTGTGTGTGAAGCGCGTCCCCAGCCAGGAACTGGCCGGGAGAAGCAGCCCCGGGCGCGACCCTTCTTCCGCCCCGCTGGACGGGCTCGCCGCGGAGCCAAGCCTGTCTTGGAACTCCCCAGGCCGGTCACCCTCCGGGGGAAGAGCTGCGGACAGCCATCCCCGCGAACTCACGGCGCCATCCCTGTGCACAGGAGATGCTAGCCAACAGCACGGCCCCGGACCCGTGATCGTAACAGCTGCAACAACAGCAACAACAGCAGCATCGACATCGACATCGGTCTACTCCAACCGCCGAGAACAGGGTGTCCTTGTGGACCCCGGGCAAGCGTATCCAAGTGTGGCTGCTAGCGCAACGTCGGGGTTCGCAGAGTCGGAAGCCGCGCACGTTCGAGACGCGGGGTCCGTGGCGCCAGGGGACCTTGTCGGTTTGCGTTGGGATAACCACACAGCCGCGCCTGTGGCGGCTCCGTCCGCCAGTAGTAGTATTGCGTACCCCATGCATGCATCCCGCAATGGAGCTGGAAGGGTGGCGATATCATCAGGGCCAGCGGGCGGCCCCGTCACTAAACTAGCAATGCCGCAGCAGGCGCAGGGTCGTGATCCAAGGGCAGCACCTGCGGCTTCGCAGCCATCCTTGCCGCCAGGGGCGGCCGTTGCCCAGCAACGTGGGCCATCGTCCTTTTTACCCATGCCTCAGCCCAGCTTCTCCTTCCAGCCCAGCAGTCTCATGCAACAGGTCGCCTCAGCTGCCGCACCGCCACCGCCGCCTCAGCAGCAGCAGCAGCCTCAGCAGGGAGGCACTGTGACTGCCGCTGGTGCCTCTTGTAGGCCCCAGGTTCTGGGATCAAGCCTTCACAGCTCCGGCCTAGATAACGCACCCAGCCGGTGGGGTCCCGCCGGAGGTCCCCAAGCAGCTAGTGGCTTCGCAAACAGCGGCTTGCAGCTAGCAGCAGGTAACGCCCGGATGATAAGGCAAGGGAACTCAAGTATGGATGCCGGGCCTGGGCATCCGCCATTCCCCGGAACGGAAGCCGGATCAGGGACAGCGGCGCCAGGGCACATTGCTTGTGGCTGTCCGGACGACTACCTGGTGGCTTGGGGTGGGACAGAGCGTGTAGGTGCGGGGGCTGGGGAAACGGTGAACATGAGGTCAGCCACAGCAGGACACGTCGCTGCTCAGCACGGGTCCTTAGGAGGTCCGGCGCCGCCGCTGCGGCAGCAGGACTATGCAGCATTACAGGGACCTGCCCCTGCAGGGTCTGCATCCGCCGCACCGATGCACCATCACCACCACATCCTAGCAGTGGGCCTGGCTGCACCTCCCCAAACCTATGCCCCGCCAGATCAGCCGGGGTGGATTAGCTCTGCCAATGTTGGCGGATCAGCAGAGGCAGCGCTTGTTGCTGGTCAATCAGCGCCGTCTGTCACTGGTGGAGCGGGCTCGGGAGGTGCTGGGGATCCGGGACTGCAGGACGCGGGTGGCGCCGGTGGTGGGCCTCGGAAGACTGAGGACGTAATCAGCAGCCTTTACCTGCGCTACACCGAGGCTCAGGACTTTTTACAGACCCTCCGCAAGCGATGAGCATGCAGGCTGAGGTTGCTGCCGTTGTTGGGGCAGCTCCAGCGGGTGGTTCCGTGTGATGGCGAGTCAGCTCATTGTTTGACTATCCAGTTGCCGCAGAGGTCCCAAATGCTGGCGTTGGTGGTTGCATGGTGTCCCAGCCTGGCCTGTATGCCTTACTTCACAAGACATATGGTCTGGCCGCGTTTTTGATGCAAACGGTCCTCGTTTGCAAAGCGGTGTAAGGCCGCAGTTGGGCGGCGGCTGTGGAACGCTGAAGAGGAATGAATGCGGATTGACGGGACTGCGGTCCGAAAGGTACTTTCACGACATGACTGGCATGTACACTCGAACGGTACACTGATGTGACCAGTAGGACTGACCGCAGGGTTGTTGACTTTTGCCCTAGGACCCGAGTTGTGAGCGAATTAGTGTGGATGGATAAATTGAGGTGTTGCAACCTGACAGCTACACCGGTGGAAAGGAGTGTGTGCCTGGAGAAGGGCGCGTTGTGCACAGGAGTACTCTTCCAGCTTTGCCTGACTTAGGAGAGTGGGCCACCGTAACGTTGACTGGATGGCCCAGAGGGGCACATGTTACACGGAGCGCGCAGCAGTGCGCGCAACTGCTTGATGACTTCACTGCGATTTTCTTAACACTTGCAGCTTGCGATGCACAAGGTGTTGTTTGTGCCAGGACTCGAACCTGGACTTGTACTGCTGTATTGCCGGAAGACATAACATCGATTCGACATGGATTCTTAGTGGACAGCATAATGGCAAGACGGACGATGCATCTTTTGTTGCATGCTCTGCAGGCGCCGCTGAAACGCGCTGTTGGGACTCGGATTTGCAAGCGTTACATTGTCACACAATTTCGCGCGACGTTTCCACTTTTAATCCCCATGAACAGAGTTCATGAGTTCATATCAATGTAATTGCTGGCGGCTCACGGTCCGTTACCGGTCATACATTTGCTCCAGGTACCAAATCCAATCCAAGACAGCTCCCCAGCCGAGGTGGTGGGTGATGGGGCTTCCTATTGCTCACTAGTCGGTACGACCCATGCTGCCATTACCGAGCTGGTCGACCCGGCCTCTGCAATGCCAGCCCCCCACCGCCACCGTCCGCCGCGCCGCCTTTAGGTTCATCCTTCAACGGCCAGCTCTTCAACCGCTGTGCAGCGAGCGCCAAACTGCGAAGCCTCTCCGCCGCACGCTTGGCCGCTTCCGGATCTGCTGCGCCCACGACATCATCAACCCTAGGAGATGCCGCCGCGGCTTCAGCTCCCGGCCCCATGCCAGTGCCGCATATCAGATCTCCGCCGTTGCTGGCTGGGCCCGCCTCAGGTGACGATGCTGGGGAGGTCGATGGCCCCAAAGAATCCCCCTCCCCGGAATTTCGTTCACCCGCCGCCGCGCCTGGCGGCTGCAGCTCCATACGTGTCCCATCCCTTTCCTCCCTTGGTGCTGATGTTGATGCTGTCCCCGTAACTACGCTGCTGAAAGTCGCCGTCGCTGCTGCTGCTGCTGCTGCTGCATTACCGGCGCGAGCCCCTGCCGGCCCAGAGCTCCTGGCTGCCACCGCTGCCATCTGTGTCAATGCCTGCGGCCGGTGCCGTTCATTCATCATTCTGCTGCCAACCGGCTCCTGCTTCATCGCCTCGGGTGCATCTGAGGAGGCCGCTGCCGCGTTGCTGCCGTCAACACGTGCCACTAGCGCAGCGGCACCCCTGCCCTCGGCCCTTCGCTGCCACTTGCCTCCTTCGCCCCCGCCCGCTGATGCCGCTGGCCCCTCCGCTACACCTGGTGCCGAAGACGCCGCCGAGCTGGTCCGTATCATTCGCGGTGCTGCCCGACCAACAGATGACCCCGGTCCCCCCGTCCCCGCCCCCGAGCTTCCTGGCGTCCCTGCCTCCTGCTGCTGCTGCTGCAAGAGTCGGTTCTGGTAGTACTCGGCAAAGGTCATCACTGTCCAGTTGCTCCATCGTTTTCGCATCGCCTGCATCGCCCGAGGCACCAAATCGGCACGCGCCAGCTGCACCAAGGCGCCGATTGCGCCGCCGTTGGGTGCTGTCAACATGGACACCTGGACCGGGTTGAAGCCCAGCACACCGAAGCGCTGGAACAGGAAGGGCGGCCGCGTCTGCATGCCGAAACCCGCCACGTACAGGACCGCCGGCCGGCTCGGCAGCGGGTCATTGCCGTACATATCCGCGTATGGCAGATCGGACCGCATGATGTGCACGCGGCCGCGGTACGGTCCTAATGGTTGAAGCAATGGTTCGGCGTCGCTGCTGGATGCTACAGGCGCTGCCGCGTCAGGGGCAGCGGTGCTGCCGCCGTCGGCAAGGGAGCTACTCGCCTGCATCGCCACCTTAGCCGCAACGAAACGCAGCAGCCGCGTGAAGGCAGCGCCCGTCATGAATGCGTCAAAGCCGGCTTCATGGGCCTTTTCCACAGACGCGCCAACGTAACCCGCAAACCCTGGCGCGTGACGGATCTCCGGCACACCGCCTCCCAGGGTCGCCGGCAGCCCCACACCCGGCACATGAGCCCGCAGCCATTGCTCGTCCATTAGCGTGCGGTACAGGTTGGCCAGCCCCGAATCCCCAACCGGCACTCCCGCCGCGATCAGCTGCGTAGCAATGTGCTTTGTGTCGTACAACCCACCCGGAAAGGCACGCTGCAACAGGGCCTTATAAGCGCGCCAGTTGCGCGGGAGCACGCCGTTGAACTGGGACAGGGTGTATGCCAAATCCAGGGAGGCGTTATGGCCCACGAGGGGTCGTCCGGCGTCACGCAGGACGTCGAGCACCTGGAGGGATTCAGGGCAGGGGTATCGGGCGGAGGGATGACGGCGCGATGTGGGCTGCGGTTGGGCCTTGATGTAGATTGGCCATCCACCCTCCCGTCCCCATTTGGCTTCACAGACGCGGCCGTGGCCGATGTTTTGGCCTCTCTCATTCCTCCTCTACCCCAACGCCAGCCCCAGTCAGCCAGCCCAGGAGCCAGTTAGTTACCTGCGAGAAGCCGCTCTGCTCCACAAGCATCTCTAATCGCTGCCGTGCCGTCAGCTGCTGACCGCTGGCAATCAGGCTACTGGGCCGCCACTGATCCAACCTCCGTAGCCGCATGAACTCCTCACCCTCATCCCCGGAACTATTTGCCGCAGCCTCCGCCTCCGCCTCGCCGTCAATGGCGCCGCTTCCCCCCTCGCTGTTGCTGCTGCTGCCAACAACCCGCTCCACCTCTTCCACTTCCCCCTCCTGTTCCGCAGCCGCTGGGCCCCCTAGTCCAACTGCGGCTGCTGGCTCCCCATCGTCGCCATTAGCGCCGCCGGCGCTGCCGCCCCTGCTGCAGATGTCTATGGAGAAGGGGTCGTACCCTAGGGACGGCAGCTGGAACTCCTCCTGCAGCAACAGCCGCATCAGCGTCCGCAGCCGCCGGGTGCGCGGCAGCGGCAGCACCAGCTCCGGCTCCGCGCTCAGCAGCCAGGACAGCGCTCGCGCCCGAGTGGCCTCCACCAGCGCCTCCTCCGCGGGTCCCCGCACCTCCCGGCTGCGCTGCGTCTTATCCAGCTCCTCCCGCAGGCTGCGAAGCTTGGCGTCCCGGGCCGCCAGCGGAATGAAACCAATGCCGTCGCGGATCATCTTGTTGAAGTCAAAACCCTGGGCCGGGCCGGGCCGGGCGCCCCCGAAAGGGCGGGGTGGAGGGGAGGGTGGTGGATGAGTATGAGGAAACAGTACACGGCAGTGCAGTGCAGTGCAGTGCAGATGTACAGGAGGGCCACCAAGCAGCCAAGGCTGTGAGCCTCCGTTGCGTGGGGTTGGACATGTGGTGTGGTGTGGTGTGTGGGGGGGGAAGGGGCTGGGATGGTGGATACACACGTGCATGTGCTAGTGTGGACGTGTGTACGGAAACGTGTCAGGGAATTTGTGTATACGCAACGGCAAGGCCTTGCAGGGTTCCCTGGAGGGGGACCGGGTCCACGCGGTGTATCCAGGAGGTGTGTACGACTGCGACTGCCATCTGGAGATGTCCGTGGTGAATGCGGCTATCGTACGAGGGCATGTACGGCATACCTGCTCCGCGAGGTAGGCCAGGGAGGAGGACTGGCACAGGAAGCGCTTGTCCCAGCCCGTCTTGTCATCGGGGCGGGGAAAGATGTAGGCGTTGAAGGTCTTGGCCTCCCAATAACCCCCCCGGGCAGCACCGGGAGCAGCATGCCACTTGAACGCGGACAGCCCAAACTGCAACACGCCAGGAAATGCGGGATAAGGCTGGAAGCGGGTGCGCACCTATGCATCCATATGAAGTGGGTTCAGGTTTTGCTACCGGCGTATTTAATCAATGTGCGTTTGCTAGGAGCTGAGGGCGGATGATTCATGTCGGGCTTAGGGTTTCATGGTGCGGGTTTCTTGGGTGACTGTGTCCGGGCGTCCTTTGGTTGTCCCAAATGCCGGTGGGAGGGTTGCATGTCGCTCCGAAACTAGGTTGTACCTGGCAAATGGCAAAGTTGTCGGCAGAGGCCAGCAAGCGCTTGTACCGCTCTTCGTAGTCGTCGAGCGGGTCCTCGCTGACGCCCTCAGGGAACAGCCCGGTGAACTCCGCGTCTATGGCGACAAAGGTCGCCTCATGGATGGCTGACCGCATGATCGGCAGCACATCTTTGAAGTTATGACGGTTTACGTCGGTGAAGTTCAGGCACGGCGGCTGTTCGTTCGCTGCTTGTACGGTTGGCGCCGAAGCTGTTTCTACCAGAGCGCTGCGTGCCGTTGTTTCGCTGGACGGGATCCCCCAATATGCCAAACGGCTTACCGGTCCAAGCGAATGCCTGACCACACAATGTGTGCTGGGGCGTCGATTTTCCCACGCTCTGACGCCATTGTAAGATGGTTGTATAACGTTCATCTCTTTCTGTTAATTTCCTTGCTTGATGGTGGTTGATTTAGAATGTTACATTCATGGAATGTGCTTGAAACAGTCGCCAAGCATCGTGCAGACTGTTAAGGATACAGCCGCAAAGGATTCTATTGCGCTATAGAATGCAAGTTAACCTAGCTGTGGAATTTGGACCGTGAACTGGGTGGTTAGAGCACCGTTGAAGGTTTGTACGGCTGCGAACAGGCAGAACCGATCTATCCAAGCTTCAGAACAGCCAAGCTGCCAGATGCAGGTCCAATGGCTGCAAGATATATTTGTGTAGTATTTCTGTCTCACGTAATTCTTTGATTTGGAACGGGCGGAACTACGGGCATAACTACCTTTGCTAATAGATAGCTCCAAGCTGATATTCGCAACGCAATATCGGGCATGACTTCCTGAATCCGGTCACCTTTAGCTTCTTGAAACGTTTCATGCTGTAACGCGCTGACTGGTGACCGAACTGGTGCGCTTGCTGCATGTCAACATGTGCCAACCAGGTAGCGCGGGGCCATACATTTGGGTTAGTGCTGTGCTTCCGGAATTCATCCCGCATACTATAAAACCCTCTCCAAGGCCAAATGCTTCCTATCGGCTGTCATACCAAACCTGGCCCGCCTTCATACCGTACACCAGCAGATCCGCATGAGAGCAGATCCGATGTTGACGGAGTGGAAACTGAAAAGCTAGGTCTGAGCGCACAGTCACGAATGTGCGTCTAAACGCGAAGGAGCAGGGGCTCTCCGTTCTGTCGCTTTGCCTACCAAGAAGAGTCGCATTGCCGTGTTTCGGTGCCGGGTGAATCGCCAGCAAGGCAAAGTTTTATAAAACGTTTACAAAGAAAACCTGAAACAATACAAAAGTAGTTTCATGACCTTTTACAACTAGATAAGTAAATATTAGCGTTCCTCATAAAACTTATTCCACGCAGCATACTTCGAGCAACCCGCAATCCTGTGGTTAACCTTCTCTTTCCGCGTTTCACAACTTAACGGAAAATGATTCAAGCGCAGACTCGCGGCCAAGTGCTGGAAGGCGTGCAGCAGTATGGGCTAGCACCAGGAGCCCGCAAGATGATCGATGCCGAAGAGCAGGCAAGCCAGCTGGGGCCTGGAACCTTGCTCTTTCTACCACACCATGCGCCTAAACAACCTTTCAGGGGTCCAAACCCTTCGGCCCGTTGCTTCCACTTTCTACCAAGGCCAACAGCTCCATCCAGGGTCCCCGCTCGCATTCCCCATATACTACCCCTGCATCCCGCGCCCTTGTTGCCCGAGCCTGGCGCATAACCCACCTTCACAACGACTAAATCTCGCTCCACCTGGCGCAGCTTTAGAACTTCACGGCCCCCTAATCCCACCGGCACGACCACATCATCCGAGCCTACACCCGCCCTCCGGCCCGGCCCCCAACACACGCAAAAGTGCACACACACGCAAACATACGCAGCTGCCCTCGTCCTCCTCTCCCCTCTCCCCGGAAGACATCTCCTCGTTCCACAACTTGGCGTTCCTCACTTACGTCAGTTACCCGGAGGTTATCGATAAAGCCGTTACTTCCACACCTCCTTTGCCCCCCATTATCACACCCTCCCCCCCGCGAGCTAATGCACTTTTCCCTTTCCGACCCACCTAACCCCTGCACCGCCCAACCACCTCTCGCCTCTGCCCTGCTGCCCCAGGCCGCCCAAATGGCCATGGAGACGGGCATCTACGCGGTGTGGCGCAGCAGCAAGGGCGGGGACTGCACCCGCATCGCCCCTTCGGCCCGCTGCTTCTGCAACCACAGCTACGCGGACCACTTCTTCGTGTCACCCAAGGCGCCGTACCCGATATGCAAGGCCTGCTCTTGCCGCGCATTCGCCTTCGTGCCCTCGCGGTGAGCAGGGGGCCGCACCACCACCACCTGTGCAGCCGCTGTGTCACCTCATACACATACACATACAGTCCGCCGCGTGTCTCAAACCCCTCTCCCCTCCAGTTTCCCCCCGGCAGTCTCACCACATCTCCCAATGCACTGCCGTACCAGCCGCACTTCATGTCCACTCCCTTCCCTTCCCTTCCCACCCCCCGGGGCAGGCCGGAGGAGGTGGGTGAGTGGTGGCTACCCCGGCGCAAGGGTTTCAACGTGCACACCTGGCGAGCCAAGTGCCGCTGCGGCCACGGGCATGACGAACACGACCCCAACGCCAGGAGGTGCCGCTGCGGCTGCTCCATGTTCCAGTCCAACTTTGCATGCCTGGTAGGAGCTGTGGGGGCGGTGGTGGTGGGGGTAAGAATGGTGGGGGCGTTTGAGACCTGGCGCACGTATTCACATTTCCGACGGAAGCCCCCCACCCCACCCCTCACCCCCTACCCACTCCAGCCCCCGGGATACCCACCACCACCCATCCACTCACGTCGGCCAGGTGACCCTTTGTTTGCTCCTCTTGCACCACCACCACCACCACCACCACCATCACCAGCATCATCATGTGGTTCCACTCAGCCTCCTGTCACCCCTCCCCTCCCCTCCCCCCCCCTCCCCCACGCGCCGGGGTTCTGTTCACCTGTTAGGTATGCGACCTCAAGTGGGAGGACCACGAGACGGTGTTTGAGAGCGCCACGGAGCGGCTGATGGCGGGCAGGCCGGTGGGAGAGGACTTCAGGCCCCTGGCGGACGACTCGGCCATCAGGGAGCTCGTGTTTCCGGGAGAACATGGGGCGGCGGCGGTGGACTGATTNGCGNGTAATAAGNGAGNGGCGGGCGGGTGGGGGGGAGGGAGGGAGGGGGGGAGGGAGGGAAATAGTGACAGAGAAGCTGCGGGAGTCTGTGAGTGTGTGCACGTGTGTGTATTTCGAAAGGGGGAAAAAAGAGGAGGTAGGTGCAGGCGGACTTGGGACGGCGGTGCGGGTGCGGGTGCGGGTGAGGGTGAGGGTGAGGGTGAGGGTGAGGGTGAGGGTGAGGGTGAGGGTGAGGGCAGCCCTGCGGCGAGTGGAGGAGGGGGAGGAGGAGGGCCCTCCTCCCGCCGTTTCCCCTTCCACCTCTCCTCCCTTACCGCCCTTGGCCCCCCTCCCCTAGCCTTCGTCGCGCCCAGGTCCCTGTCAACCGCGGTGAGAAGGCGGTACGGATCATGGCGGCCAGCAGCGGCGGCGCAGTGGCGGACCAGCCCCTGGCCAACCGGTGGGGCAAGGTGGCCAACCCGCCGGCATGGCCGCCCGGCCGCGTGCTCGGCGGCACGACAGCGCCTGAATACCTCCCGGGCGGCGGATCGCCATCTTCAGCAGCAGCAGGTGCAGGTCCCAGCGGTTCCTCAATCCTCTCCCGCCGTACAGGGGGTGGTACGGGCGGCGGGGAGGCCAACGGACCTCGGGGCCCGGCTCGGCCGTCGTCGACAGGCCGGGGCCGGCCGGGAAGTAGTGGCTCGTCCAGTGCGGGTGGTGGCGGTGGTGTTGGTTACAGTGGTACGGCGAGGCCGGGGTCGGCGGGTCGACGGCCGGGTTCTAGTACGGGGTTGGCAGGTACGGCGGGAGGCAGGTCGGGGGCCTCTGGGGGCGCCTCTTCGAGCTCGCAGGGTCCCAAGCAACTGTCAAGCGGGTTTAGACCCGTGTACGACTGAGGCCGTGTGTATGAACGTGTATCTGGGAGTATGTCGTACAATACTCAGAATATGAAACGTGCTCGCAAGTGTCCCATTTGTGTGTATGTACGTCTATATGATGTGTGAAACAGGGGGGTGTATCTTCGCCCGTGGCAGCTACCCTGCGAAACCCTGCCTTCCCCGGTATTTCGGGGCACCCTCATCCAGTCACCCTAGTCAACTTCTCAGTGGATCGCTCAGGTTCCGCACCCACCACCAGCATCCAACGGAATCTGCCGGGTCGACAGCGGCCCAACTCCGTTCCTGGTCGGCTCGCAGGTTAACTTTATCCCAGGTCACCACCGTCCATCAACTAGGGGCGCAATGCCTTCCACCATCGGAAGGACTTTTGACCCTAACGGGTATCGATCCCGGGATCTCCCGGGGGCAATGGTCGCGCCTTACCAGTGGTGCCAAACCCTTATATAATATGTCTATGTATGTATGTGTACGTATTATGTCGGTGCGGTTGTGGATGTGCTGCCTCTGGGTTGCAGCTGCGAGTGCGAGTGCAGGCACAGTTGAGATCTCGGCGTCTCGTGCGAAATATAATGTGTATACTGTATATTGTACGCAGGACATGGTCCGTCGATGTGTGTGGGAGGGTGTCTATGTATTGATTCCAGCGGTGGCCTCCTTAGGCTATGTGGCTACACCGCGTGAGTTGATTAGATCTGCGAACAGGTCCGCGATTTGAAACTGTTGATGCGGAGACGAGGGGGGCAACGCCGGGTGTATCTTGCCCCCCTCGTGCATATCTCGTTGCCAGCCAACCACTAGCCGCCATCGTCCCCCCCTTCACCGACCGCTGTAGAAGGCCCGAACAGATTAGAAGTTGCAGTAACTTAATAATAAGAGTAATGTGTATTTATAAAGTAGGAGCCATGGCATTGCCAATTCTGTTTCGCTATCTGTAACAAGACTGGTAGGGGGCCGGGTGTTGTATCTCTGATCGTCCGGTGTCGCCTCCCGCCGAGCGACTGACGACATCTGGTGTCGACATCTGCGATAACGAGTGGTCCACTACACTGCAAATGTTGCCGGTTTGGGTGACTGTTCAATTGCGGTGTGTGAGGTAGGCAAGGCCCGACAAGGCCCAACAATGCACCAGCACCATGATGCTCGGCATCGGCAGGCAGGTCCGGGCGTTTCTGTTTTCCGTGGGTTGCTAGGGCGGAGGGAGAGCGGTGTTGCCTTCGAGGGGGAGGGGCGAGGGGGGAAAGGAGGTTGCGGTATGCTGAAAAGCACACCTCGAGGCCGCAGAGGCTGCTGTTTGTAACAACAAACACAACAGAACTACCGAGCCAGCGAGACGGCCTGCACATCTGCGTGGGATGCAGGTTGTTGTGGGCCATCGCTGTGGGAGACCCACACTCGGGGCCTGTGTATGTGTGTGGGGGGGGGAGGGAGACATGCGGGAGGGAGACATGCGTCATGCAGCGGTTCCCCGCCCGTCGTTGCACTTTGAGAAATAAAGTTGGAGGAGGGCCCCAACATGTGTTATATGGTAGGCGTACGGCGAATGTACGGCAATTGCTGCCGGGTGAGTTGGATTGGCCGGCTCAATGACCTTCACCTGACTGTACATACACACGCACACGCACACGGTGACGTCTTCCTGCCTTCTCCCCACTTTCTTCTCCCCCGGGGAGGGGTGTGGCATCCCGGGTTGCTCCCTGACACCCCCCCATCCTGAAGATCTTCACATCCCGATAGCATTCCTTTGTGAGGTTGCTGTGGGATAGATAGTTTTGCACCTCGAGAAGGGACGACGGGCATTACAAGGGCGGAATGTGTCTCGAGGGTTTGCAGAGAGCAATCTGCTGGTACTGCCATGCACCGCGTCCCTTCGTCCCTGCCCCTTCCATCCTGTAGGCAGCGCCTGGCTTCTGGCGCCAACTCGTACTGTCCCCAACTCGAAGCCACGAGGTCTCGGTCCATATCGTTCACTCCGGCCAACTGCCATTGCAACACCAGCTCAAGAAGACAACCTGCTCATATGTCCCTGTGCTGCATTTCCCCTCCAACTCAATAAGTCCGTTGGTTCATAACCCTCCAGAAAATTCTTCCCAAGCTGCTTTTATAGCCGATAAGAGTTTCGAATGATCCGTGCACCGTTTAGATTTTAACCAACCGACTGCGCGATGTGAGCCCGTTCAGGCAACTGGGCTGGCGCCCATACCAGCCACATGATTCGCGCCACTTGACCACGCGGGCACACACAGCATACGGGCCCTCATGCACCCTCATGCACCCCCCGGATCAGAACCTGTCCTTCGCCGCCCTGACCGCCGCGAAGACCTCCCAGTCCTCCGCTGCGGGCCCCAGTCCCATGTTCTTGCGTACGGAGGGGGCTCCGGGTCGGAGGAAGGGGTTGGTGGCCTTCTCTTCCCCCAGGGTGCTGGGCACGGTAGCCTCGCCCTGAGGGGAGAATAGCGGGGTCCGGAGCACGTGACCCGGCAGGGTGGCAGGAAGTAGGATTCGGAGCGGAGGCAATCGCGTACATGCGATAGGGTGAGAGGCCGCCTCAGCTAGAAGAGGAGGCCAAATCCGGTGGTGGCGGTGGTGTGTGGTGTTGGTGTGTGGTGTTGGTGTGTGGTGTTGGTGTGTGGTGTTGGTGTGTGGTGTTGGTGTGTGGTGTTGGTGTGTGGTGTTGGTGTGTGGTGGTGGAGCCCAGGCGGTGGCTCCGGATGATGACGACCCCACACGGGCAGGTCTCACTCGGACCACCGAGTGGATGAAACCCTAAGTCAGGAAGCGGCCGCGAAGGCAGGTGTGAGGGACTTTATGCCCCACTGCCTCCTTCGCGGTGGGTTACCGCGGGGGGGGGACTTAACGGGAGGGCTTCCCTGCTCTGCTCAGGGTCCAGGACGACACCACACCCCGCACTCCACACCCCACACACGCACGTCCCGCACCTTTGCCCTGGCCGCATCCACCCGCATCTTCCGATCCGCCAGCTGGGGGTTGTCCGGGTCCACTGTCATCGCGAACCGCGCATTGGCTGCGGTGTACTCGTGTGCGCAATAGACCCGCGTGTGGTCTGGTAGCGCCAGAAGCTTGGAGAGTGAGGACCACATTTGGCGGGGGGAGCCCTCGAACAGCCGCCCGCAGCCCAGAGCGAACAGCGTGTCGCCTGCACATGTGTATGTGTGAATGTGTATTGACATGTGTGCTAATGTGTGTGTGTGCGATGAAAACGTCCGGGGGTTCAGCCGGACAGACAGCGGCACGTCGTGTATGTGTAAAAGTATGGAGGAATGAACAGTAAGGGGGCATGCGCATGAGGGCGTGTGAGCTGTGCTCTCTAAGAGGATCACTGAGGCAGGGCGCCACGAGAGCTGACCGGGAGAGAGGGGGGATGAGGGCACTCTGGACAGCATCTTCCCCGGGCGATCACCCTCCAGAATTTTTCCACGCTGGGTCGCCCACTCCCTTTCTCCCACCCCCCTCCTCCTTCTCCCTGCCTTGGCGCTTCCTCGCGTCCCGATCCACCGCCTTACACAGCCCGGTATCCCACACCTTGACATGCAGGAGCGGCCGTTGGCCGCCCCTATGTATGTCCGTCCGCTGGGGCCCCTCCCCGCACCGCCGCGTTCCCATTCCCCTGTACGAACCACGTCCCCTCACCCCGCCTATGCCCTTCCGCCTATATCGCTCATAGGGTCAAGAAACGTTGGTGGCGCTGCCTCCCCCGGGTGGTCCCCCCCTTCCTCCCCCTTGCCCTTGAGAGTGCATTCCGCTGGTGGTTGTGGTGGTTGTGGTGGTTGTGGCGCCTCACCGGGGAAGAGCGCTCCCGCCTGCGGCACCCAGTAGGTGATGTGGCCCCGTGTATGACCCGGCGTGTCGAACACCCGCACCTCCAGTGACCCGAGATGCCAGGAGTCACCCTCGCCCACCTGCACCATCACCACCACCACCACCACCACCAGCAGTAGCAGAGGTAAGGGACAAGAGGAGGCGATGGTGATGGAGCGTGGAGGAGCCAAAGACAATGATAACACGGCGAAAAACTTCGACAAAGCTAACGTCCTACGCTGTCCTGCACGCTGTCCAGCGGAGGGTAGCTCTGTCTGAGACCCACACACGACACGACAGCCGCACGCCCATGATAGCCGCGAACGAACGTCGACATATCGCACATTCAAATTCATTTGGGGGCGGAGATCATCCGGGCGAAGAACCTTACGAGTATCAGCGGCCCTGTAGAGCGGAGGAAATGGAACGGAGGGAGGGAGACGAACAGGCCGCGACATGGCCGACATGGACAACAGGCACCTAGAGCCGCAACGGCTCTGGCGACGGCTCCGGAGTTGCGTCTCATCACATCGTACTGCTGCTGCTGCTGCTGCTGCTTGCTTCTACACAGTGCCCCTGTGCGGCCCCTAGATCCAACAGGGGAGCCCCCGCACGTCTTGAGGCAGAGTTTGTCTATGTGCTTGTGTGTGTATGTATGTGTTTGTGAAGTATCTGACCGGGCCTGACACCAGTGCCAGGGGGGCTGCTGCCCAGCCCCAACGGAAAGAACGCCTAAGCTCTGTCCCGCGGACGGGAGAGGGGCGTGAGAGGGGCCTCTGCCCCCTCGAGAGCCGCGGGTCCGCTAGCTCCATGTGTGTATGTGTGTATACGAAGCGTAAGAAGTGAGTCACATATCTCGTCCACATAGTGCCCCGTACCTGCACCTCTATTCCCGGGATGCGGTCCTTATCCGCCCGTGGGCCCACGATATCGCAGCTGGGGAAGCGGCGCTTGAGGTCCAGATTCGCCCCCACGTGGTCCCAGTGGTGGTGCGTGTTGAGGATGGCGTCCAGGACCCAGCCCCTGGGCCGAGATACCGACAACAGCAACAACAACGAGCGCAACGGCAATTGGAACGGCAATGAGAGCAACGGCAATTCCAACGGCAATAGCAACGGCAGCAGGGGTGGCAAAGGTGAATGAATACAGGGATACAACCACTCGATACGGTACTGCCGAGGCCACGTAGAGGTACAGATCAGTCGGTGGTCCACTGCGGGGGGGACAAGATGCGGAGCTGGGTCGGGAGCCAGGAGGACTTCTGTGTGTGTGGGGGGGAGGAGTACATGTAACGGCAGGCGGCTGGCAGAGGTTAAGGCCTGACTTCTGCTCCCGGCCGACCAGGGTTCAAATCCGCCTGCCGGCTCCTCGGGTGTTTGAGGAGTGTTGAAATGGGAGGTGGCCCCCCATCATATGGACGATGTAGGACGTGATAAAATCAACTTGCGAGCTAACCAGGAACTAAGTTGATGCGCCGTTGATCCGCTAGATTTGGTTGGATGCTGGTGGTGAGTTGCCGAACCCAACGAATACATTCTGAAGTCGGATGGGGTGACGGATTAGGGTGCCCCTCTAGCAGGGGAGAGCAGGGACTGCCCCGGGAAAGGGGGCCGCTGGCGAAGTTAACCACCCTGTAACAACATACATGTAACGTGTATGTATGTATGTATGTATGTGGGGAGCACGAGATGGGCGTGACGAGGCACGGCTCACTTAGCAGGGCGGCAGATGAGGGGATGGTAGGCCTAAACCGCATGTGTGTATGTGTGTGCGGGGGGTGTTCCGGTATCGTCTGCGACTATACATCCGCGCGGCCGTACTTGGAAGCCGACTCGCGGTTGCACCCTGATGTCAGTGACCCACCCTGGTCGCCGCTGGTCAGCTCAGCTCACCCACCTGCGCTCCAGCTCTGAAACCACCGGATGCAGCTCCGCGGGATCGACCACTGCGGTGCGACCGCTAGTGGGCTCCCGCAGCAGCCAGACGTAATTGTCCGACAGGCAAGGCACCCGGACCACCTCCAAGGCTCCGCAGTCACCAGTCATCGGGCCGCAGTCAGCTGTGCTTGCGTGTGTCCTGGTGCTGGTGCTGGTGCCCCTAGTGCACCTAGGTGGTGCGCAGCTGCGGAAGGCTGCACGGCTGTTGCTAGTGGCGCTGCCACGTATAGCTGCGGTCGTACAAAGAGCAGGAAATGCACTTGCAGCCGTGGTGGCGGCAAGGCAGAAGCTGGCGGTAGTGGTATTGGTGTGGTGATTGTGGCAGTGTGGTGGAGGTGGCGGGGATTACGACCGTGACGGAGGGATGCAAGGCGGGGGAGAAAACAACGGTAAGTTCTAAAAAGGGAGGGAAAGGAGCGAGCGGTGAGCGAGTTTGTTGGGTGTTGCACAGAGCGGCATGTACTGCTGGCCAAGGCGCGCCGAGGACCATCCTACATACTAAGCTAAACGCACAAGGTGAACGTCCCATGCAAGGAACATTCAGTGGGTCCGCCCCCAGCGCAGGTACACATCGCGCCACAAATACGCAGGAATCGTGCAGTCTGCCAAGGATCAGCAAATATGAGTCGTGAAGTCTACTACTAATACAGAAGTCATCAACATCGAGTCCGCAACCAGTCATCGTATAGGTTTAGGGCTTGCCTGCTGAGGTAACGTGCCCTGCAGCTTTCAGACCGAATCATATTTAATCTTGTTCCTGGATGTTGCAAGAAGAGAGCGAATTGCCTTCGTTAGCAATACGGCACCTGACCGTTGATTTAGGTGTGGTCTCACCGTGCATCATTCGTGCTTTAGATCTTCACTACAAAACGTATTGCTAACATAATTATTACAGAGTTGGGCAACTTTGAAATCAGCGACAATTGTCGTTGCCATTCAACCGTGTCCCGTGCCAGTTGGTTTTCCAATGAACAGAGGCACGTTCTTTCTTCAGGAGAACTCCAGTCGTGACTTCAAGTCTTCAGGTTTGGACGTGATTGCCGGAAGGCTGGCGTGCGGGTGGTTCCTCTTGACTGCAATTGGTCAGGCCTGGCTATGGCCCGTCATCCTGGTGGTCGTCTGTTATGCTCGGAAGCTGTGGCTTACAACCGCTTTCCTTGGGTGCGTTTTTTGCGTTGATTTTGACGTCCGGAATGATTGTTTCGGAAGTTGGCCTTAGAGGCGACGAGGTGCGTGGTGGGAGCGGTTTGACACGCCCTATTTGGATACAGGTACATGCTGTATGTATCTATTGGTCCTGGCGTTAAAGCAGGTCGGACGTGCACTTGGCCCAAGCCGCTCCGGAGGTAAGCATCTATAGCGTCTTGCTTGCTGTGTCTAGCTCGCACGGCACGCAACGAACATTGCCTGCGTGCTCTACTAGTAGTTGAAACCAACATTAGAATTATTTATCTATGATAAATCCGCATTTGTTTGCACGCTGCTGTCGGCGTTCCAAGACTCGAGACGTCACACTTAGGACGCGACCCAAATTCAATTACACGCCCCTCACTTGTTGCTTCGCATCAAACAGTACATAGCATAGTAATGTGCTTTAGAACTATTTCTGGGAGTGGGATCGCTCCTGCCTCGTAAAGGTTCTGGGGTTTTTGCAAGCCATACATTCCATCACAAACGGCCTGTGTGGTTTGCTGGATATTATCCCAAATGTGGCTTCAAAATTAAATTCCTTACATGGAACTGTTTTGGGACATGGTCTCAGAAGCGCGCGCTAACGAACTGCAAAACCTTACAGTTTTGGGACGTTAAATTCTCGTTGGAGATGCGGGAGTACGAGGCTCCAGCCCTGACCCATTCTGGATCTCCCGCCGTTTCTGAAGCTTAACCACCGAGCCACCGGATTCGTGGCCACGTTGGCCACCATGGCCGAGTGACCCACATATTCCCCACTGAGGCGTCTAGGCGGCCTGATATTCTCAGAGGCATCGCTTGATAAGCACATTACACGGTACTCCAGGGCCCACTAAGATTAAGCAGCCTGAGGCCTGGAACACATGCATACAAACTCCTACCTATCCCTGCACATGACCCACAAACACGTGTCAACTTGTGCCGCGCATCGCTGGCTGGTGCTCGCCGCCAACGTCGCCCACGCCGCTTCTAACCTCGTCTCCCTCTTGGACGTGACGTACGACAGCTGGTCATTATGGCGATTGATGTCGTCCTACTTTGACGCCAAACTGATCAAGACGGTCGACCTGGACCCCTCTGGCAATTACTTATTTGTCGTTCATCCGCATGGCGTTATCGCCATCTCCTCCTGGATTAACTTTGTCACCGAGGCCACGGGCTTCTCAGAGAAGTTTCCGGGCAAGTCCATTCCGGGCATCATTTTATTTGCGGCACTTGCTGCAGGAAGAAGTCGCAGGGGCACGTCCTGGGGAGGTGGGGGGTTGCTTCCATGTAAACCAAGCTCGGAAGGGAGTTAACAGCACAATATCTAGGAAACGTGCCTTTGCAGCTGAGGAAAAGACTCCAGGTGCCGACACGTGACGTGAGACGTGTGACGGTGACGGTCACACGGGACCCTGGCACCCCTCGACATTGGGTTTGGAGTGACATGTAATGTACTACAGACGGAGAACCAGCTTCCTCCTGAAGCTTGGCTTAGCTCCGGCCCAAGCTTGTGATTTTGTAACCAAACGCAACAACTGCAAACGCAAAGCTTCTTGGGACTGCCACACACTGCATCCTGTCCCCCCCCCCGTAGCTGCGCTGTTTAACTCCCCCTCCACCCAACCCAAGGCATCGACCTTCACGCGGCCACCTTGGGGAGCAATTTCCGTGTTCCGTTGCTGCGGGAGTATGTGCTGCTGCATGGCATGGTGGATGCGAGCAGGGACACACTGCGGGCGGTGCTCGGCGGGTGGGTGGGCGGGCGGTAGTGGGTGGGTGGCTACTCGGTGGAGGGAGAGGAGAGGAGAGGTGGGATAGGGGGGAATACGAGGGGAAGGAGGGGAAGGGGCAGTGAAGGAGTTGAGGAGTCGCGTAATATAAAGTGTCCGCGTAATCCGGAATCCGTGATACGCGTAGTATAAACATTAAAGCTGATATTGTCAAACCGGCTTTGTTTATATTTCCCGCAGTGCTGCACGAGTGTATATTGTTTACATGCGAGAGCTGAGTGTGATGTGATGTGATGTGATGTGAGGGAATGGCAAGGCGGGGCCTGGACAGAGATGTCCGGTTGGTCAGGACTCACCCATCCCTTCCCCGCCGTCCACCATTACCGCCGCCCTGCTCCTCCCCTCAGGCCGCCGGGGCGATCAGCGCTGCTGGTGGTGGGCGGAGCGGCGGAGGCCCTCTTGGCTGCTCCTGGCACGTACGACCTGGTACGTAGACCAACACGTACAGCAGGAACCAAGAATTGTATGCATCTGGCGGGGTTGTATATGAAACAAGCCTGTCTGGATGCCGCAGTGCTTTCACAGCGGGCCCCTTTCCGGAAACCCTGTTGTTACTGTGATTACCGGATGCAACCGACGTCCCCGGTTCATACCCCAATCAGTTCCACATCCATCTGTTAGTTACCCACCAGGGCTGACCTCTACCCCTCTCTTTTCCTCCTTCCATTGCTATGCGACTCCCAGGTGCTCCAGGCCCGCAAGGGCTTTGTGAAGGTGGCGCTGCAGACGGGCGCCACCCTGGTGCCGGTGATCGCGTACGGAGAGACCGACACGTTCCATACCCACATTCCCCAACCTGACAGCAAGTCGGCAGCAGCCATCAGGTGAACCGCAATCAGGGGGGAGAGGGGAGGGGAGGGGAGGTTCAGCAGCTAGCAGGAAAGGAGGTAAGATTGGCATAAGTTGGTTGGCCGCAGGGGGAGACTGAGGGGGGTTGGGCGCCCGTTGGGGGGCAGAGAGCGACGGAGAACAATTTCGTGTGGTGGTGATGTCTGCTGGACTCAGCTGCCTTTCAAGTGTATAGGGAAAGGTGCACTCGAAAGCTCCGGATCAACCCTCGGCTTTTTTGCCACATCAGCTCCCCTCCCGCTCTGTTGCTTATCATCGCACACTGTGGGCTTTGCGCTTTTGACAAGATTCAATGACAAGGCGATCAGAGGCTTGCATCCTGGTCCAGACGTCCCCCCTGAAGTTCTCCGTTCTCGGAACGAGCTTTTTAACAAGCTACGTAACCAGAAAAAGAACGCCAAGACGGGTAGTCTTTGGGACAACTTCGATGTGGAGTGGTGGGGTGGTCTACCAAAGCTAGTCTGCTTGTTCTGCGATGAGCCGCTCAGCGCCGCGAACCCATCCTTTACCAACGCGCACCACATCAAGCAAGGTGCTTGCAAGGCTATCAAACAGCGTGCAGCGTCACTCAGCCAGCAACAGCAACAGAGTGGAACCAGCTCTGCTGCGGCGGGCCCCAGCACGGCGGATCAGCAGGCGGGTTACGTACTGGGCCGTTGTAGTGCAGGAACTTCACTAGTATGGCGTCCGTGTGTTGTCTTGTCAACACTGGGTCTTCTATCTGTGATTATGTCTTTATGTGCCATAACACGCCTTGAGACATGGGGTTTGGGGTCCACCTACCGGGCACTGAACTAACAAAAAGTGATCTGGATGACCACAGCGATCTGCTTTCTCATGTCTAAGTAGATATTTAGAAAGAACAAAAGAAGACCTTTCCAACGGTGTAATTTTCAGGTACAACGGTTGGTCGTACACCCCCTTTCTACAGGGAGCGTGTACCTGCCTAGTAATAGTATCATAGTATTATATTACTATATATAGTACTATTTCTTACTATACTATACTATTTGGGTAAAAAAATATAGTATTTTTGCCAACCCTACAAGATTGTTCACTTTCCGTACCTCCCTATAGTCCCGCGGCTCTGTGGCTTTGGATGTCGGCAGTTCTTTTCCCTCTTGACTTTGCTGCATATAACCCCAACCCCCTGCTGGCGATCCGCCAGCCATGCCTTCCTCTCTTGCTCTGTAATGCCTTCGTCGTACATCGTACGGTGGTTCTCTTTTCAGGCGCATCAAGCGGATGTTCGGTTTCTCCATGCCTTTGTGCTGGGGCACGGGAGTGTTTGGAGGTGGGTAAGATGTAGGCAGGGGCGAGGCGGCGGGAGTGGAAAGGGAAAAGGGGGAATCCATTTGCTGATTGCGGTGTGTATGATAATGAATAAATTGTACGGCACCTGTTCCTTGCTGAACGTTTCCCCGCGCTAAAAAGTGTTTTATTTGCCGTACCGGCAGGCTGGGGTATGATGCCGCTACAGACCCAGTTGGTGACGGTGGTGGGTACACCGCTCCGGGTGGGGAGGTAGGTGAGAGACAAAGGGAGGTGAAGGGCGGGGCGGGGCGGAATGGGAGTGGGAAAGGGGACTGGTAGGGGGGGACGCAGGAAGGGAGCTTGGTCGGGAGGGGAGGAGGGGTGAGCCCAGATGGTGAAAGGGTGGGGAAAGCCTGGCTAGCTTCAGGGTGGGCTTCATGGCATCATTTGTTGTTGTCGTTACAGGGTGGTACAGCTACACCAGTGGCCTCCTTCCCGAGGCAGTTCCCTGCTCTCCCCTGCTAGAGGGGCACCCTAATCCATTCACCCCATCCGATTTTAGAATGCAATCTTTGGGTTTGGCAACTCACCACCAGTATCCAACGAAATCTAGCGGATCAACGACGCCACAACTTAGTTCCTGGTCAGCTCGCAAGCTGCCGTTATCACCTCCTACCCCCTCCACAAGATGGGGGGCCACCTACCATTTCAACACCCCTCACACACCGAGGGGACGGCAGGTGGATTTGAACCCGGGACGTCCGGGAGCAGAAGTCAGGCCTTAACTTCTGCCAGCGTGTGTGGTGTGTGGTCGCTGCGAGGCACCGCTGTCCCCTGTCATGACTTGTACAGTTACGATCCCTGAACAGTAAGTACCTGGTGGCACCTTCAATGCCTTACTATATTATTATCCTTCCTGACTGCTGTTCCCTGCTTGTGCTGCTGGTGGTGCAGGACGCCCACCCCCACGGACGACCAAGTGAACCAAGTGCATGGCGCCTACACGGCTGCGTTGAAGAAGCTGTGGGATGACACCAGTGATAAGTACGGAAAAGGGGTACGGCGGGGTCTGACAGTCGTACAGTAGCTCCAGAGAACTACAGTGCCGAAAGAGAAGAGTGGGAGGGCCCTATTTTCCGGGTTGTGCTTACCAGTCTGCCTAGGAGGGCATCGCGCTTACACTGACTGTTGAGGGAAGGTGTTCTTAGTGTTTTTGCGGGGGGACCAATTGATGCAGCAGCTGACTACTACAACATGTTGAGGGAACTGAATGTTGAATGTGCGGTTGGCCCCACGCATAGACATGCGGTCTCGGCCATTTTTTGTTTTCGTCACACAACCTGTGTCACAAGGGGCAAGGCACTGACGGGATACTGAACTCTGAAAGATTCGTTACTTCTGGGCAAAACGCAAATGTTGATGGGGACTACACTTCCTTATCAGCGTACTGTTGTTGTTGTTGTTGTTGTTGTTGTTATTATTATTGCCTATATTGCAGCATTATGTTTAGTCCTTTGTGTGTGTGTGTGTGTGTGTGTGTGTGTGTGTGTGTGTGTGTGTGTGTGTGTGTGTGTGTGTGTGTGTGTGTGTGTCCACCTCGATTGCGTCACCCAGAGAGGTGTAACGAGCCCATGCAAGCCAGAGGCCCAAGAGTCTAGGAGACACAAGTTAGATTAAAGTCATAATACAACGCGAAAGATCTAGCACCCAAGCAATAAACACGAGAGAAACAAGGACACATACCATGACCACCTGTGTAGAGATGTGTTTGTAAGCCAGATGCTATGGTGGGCAAGCTTTGTTCGCCCACTGTCCATCATAATCGTCTTCAAACCAGAATCGTGGCTAAGGTATACGTCCGAGAACTCGTGGCATGCAGAATAAGCCGGGCATCTTGAAGGACATGACGCTCATCTTCCACCTTGTGTAACTCACAGATCAGATCAGATCAGATCAGGTCTGGGTTGACACTACTGCGATTCGCGGTTTAAGGTCCTGGGTTCGATTCCTGGGGAGACCCCCGAATTAGTCGGGAGCGCGAGATTATGGCTAGCTGCTGAGATGTGGAGTTGAGGTCGCAGTTGATGAACCAGATTCGCACGCTAGATTGGTGGCGATTGCCGAACCCTCCGTCTCTTCGGTTGTTCGGGTGAATGGATGAGGAGGGGTCCTAGACGGCTGGACCCGCCGCCTTGGACTTACAGTTCGTATGGCGAAGTATAGTGCTTGAATGTAAATGCTCGTCGCTCCGTACCGGACTAGCGTGAAGTGGGCCTTTGCGTCCAGCCTTACACCCGATCCCAATGTTTAATCAGGCCACACCACCTCCCAATGCGCTTAATGGGTGGGTGGGAGGGTCTTCGGCTGGTCCGCAAGTTTTAAGCCTTAGGTCCAGAGCGGCGGTAAGATGCTTGCATTTATGACAGGGAAATTTATTGGCTACTCTTGCGTCTTACTGCGGTCTCCAATGTGCGTGGGCGATTTACGCCCTGTTCATCTGCCTACTTGCATCGCGACTGATCTCCTTCTCCTTAGGTTTAGATTAATTAGATGTAAACCACTGATTCCCGGTTTTCCTGAATGTGCGATCATTCTGATGCGTTTCCGTACCGCTGTCGTGCCCAGGTCGATGGCTTAGCCTTTCTTGGCACTGACGCGACTAGCTCCGCGCAGCCTTCCTTTGTTCCTGGATGGGGCTTACGTGGTGTGGTGAGGTGTCGCCGAGCTATTGTGTTGTCCTTTGCGCTTGCGATAGACGGGCCCGTCTCCCCGCAGGTCCCTCTTCGCACTGGCGGCCTCGGCCTTCCGGGGGGTCCGCTTTCCTTGGTTGGATTGTCGGCTCCCTCTCTCGAGTCTCCACCTTTGGCGCCTTCTGTGGGTTATCCGTTTGCTGCCCCCTGTTCTGTGTGCAATGTTGGCTGATTATCGTGTCTCGCTTGCCGTAGGAGTTCTTTCTTGGCCCTGGGGTTGTCACCGGCGCCGCCGCCGGATCCGCTGGGCCCCCCGTTAGCCGGCCTTTCCCGCTGGGCGTTCCTGCCCAGGTTGGTAGAGAAGTCCTTTGGCTGCTGACCCTGCTCTAGCGCTCTCCTAAGCGATTCTCTTGGACTGCAGGCACTTGCCCCCTTGGGTGTGGCTCGCGGTCGCCTAGACCAGGTTATCGCTCGGCTCCGCCCTTCGCCCCTCATTTCAGCCGCGGATCAAGAAGCGTCTTACCAGCGGGGTCTGGCCGCGGCCAACCAGATGCTCCTTGGTGCCCTAGCCTCTTCTACGGTGTCCCGCCAGGATGGTGCCGTCACCGAGTTCCTGAGTTGGCTTTCCAGCCATGGTCGTGGTCGGGACTGGTGGAATTGTACGCCAGACGACGTGCTCGTCTATATGACGGTTTGGTGGCTGCCCCGGCATCAGGGCCGAAGTGGCGGCCCCGTAGGGCCTGCCGCCGTTAAGTCCCACCTGTCCTGCCTGAGTGGTTTCTTCAGCCGTGTGGGCCGGGGTGGTCGATTCGACGTCTCCACCGGCCAAGGCAACCCTTGCGATTGCATCTGGGTTGAGGATTTCCGCGCGTCGTATCAGCGGTCCCAGGTCGCCGGGGGTTACACCGAGGTTTCGGCAGTACCTTTGTCTTATGACAAGTACCGTGCTCTCGTGGGCTACTTGTGGTCGCAAGTGGTGGTGACTGACGAAGCTTTGCCCCGACTGGTCTTCCTGCGGGACCTGTTGTGCGTGCTTCTCCTGTGGCAGACTGCCCAGAGGGGTCACGATATCGGGAAGCTGGGGGTGGGTGACTTCGTCGAACCTTCGCAGCCTGACCGACCGTACTCTGGGTTCCCGCTACCTCCGCCATGGTCTTGGGGCCCTGGTGGATGTCCTACCCTCTGCTTCCGTCAGCGGGGGACTAAGACCTATCGGCTGGTGCGTGGCCCCGCGGTGCTGCTGCGGCCCAACAGTGAGGACCCCCCTTTCTGCATCCCGCGTACTCTGGCTTTTTACATGTGGTCTTGCGCCCAGCCTGGTGCCCCTCCTGGGAGCACTGTCCAAGACACGCTGTTTCGCCCGCTGACGGCGGACCAGCGGGCTTTCAAGGCGGAAGCGCTGCAGAGCGCCACTCTTGCCGCGCGGTTACGGCTACACCTGCGGGCTGCTCAGTTGTACGACGGGGAAACTGTGCACAGTTTCCGCCGGGGTGCCCTGCAGGCCGCTGCGTCGGCCGGTGCGGGAGTTCCCGCCCTGATGGAGTTCAGTCAGCTTCGGACTCCGGCTGTGCTGGAGCGATACCTTGATCCTCATCGTCACGACCGCAATGTGCGGCCCCGCAACTGAGTGCCTGCTTCTCGCCTTAGCGGTCTTGCGATTGCTAGGACGATTTACTTTAGTCGCCGGGGTCTCAGGGCGTTACCTCTAGGGTGGTTGGTTGTGTGGTCTTGTCGCTCGCCCCACCCCAAACTACACCAGGGGGGGGGACGGGAGGGGTGTAGTTTGGCTGGCTCTTGGTTGTCTCTACTCGCTACCTTAGCGAAGAGACGTTAAATGGTATTGAGAGAGAGAGACTGATTTGCGCGGATGCTCGGTATGTTGGAGTTCACTTGCTGTCGTACCACCGTTGTTGCGAGCATTTAAGTCTCTGTAAGTGCTTGAATGTAAATGCTCGTCGCTCCGTACCGGACTAGCGTGAAGTGGGCCTTTGCGTCCAGCCTTACACCCGATCCCAATGTTTAATCAGGCCACACCACCTCCCAGCCACACCGCCTTGCGGCTCGTCTGCAAGTCTCAGCCTTGTCATGTCTCCGGGCTTCCTTGGATCCTCGCTTTCGCTATTTTCCCTGTCGTACTCTCGCGCCTAGTCGGCCCTGCCTTACCTCAAAATGAACACTACCTCGGTCGCGTAACTCGGCCTGAAAGGGGTGAGGATGTGCGGCAAACGCCTCCGCGCTTTTATGGGTAACGTTGCCAGCCTAGCTCTCCCCAGCGCGGCCAAACCTGATGATCGAGACACAGTCCGGCTTCTCCTCGGCAACCTTGTGCACTACTCGCCCATCTGGTCGAAACGGGGTTTAAGGTACAGAACGTCCTGGCGGCTCCACTTTCTCCAGTCTTGGGTGAAGGCGTCCACTGCTAGGGCGTGGGGCCTCCAATAGCGATGCAAAGAAGCACCCCTGGTACTTTTGTGGAGAATTCGTCTGCAAAATGACGACCGTGGCCCGCATCCTTTCAGGCATGTCTCCGCCCACAGGCTTGTGAACCGCGTCGTCTAAGCACCCCTGCGAGCTGTCTCCGAACTTGGAGAGTATATCCGCGTATTGCTGTTGCTGTTCCGAGCGGGGATGCCAGACCAGCTGCACTCCCAGGTCCCAATCCGCGCACTTCATGTACAGCTCGTCCACTCGCTGTAGGCATAATGCCTGCCACTCTCAGCACACGGCTGGGCCGCGTCG